CCTGTCCCTCTCGGGATGTGGTCTGCACTAACTCACAACTGGGGAGAAGGGAAAGCAAGGAGCTCAGAGCCTGCAAATTCCATGGTTTGAAAAGGCACCAGCATCCCTCTAGGTGTCCATGTGCACTGGAGCTGGGCAAACGTTGCTTTTTAAGGTTGTTCTCAGCTTGCAGCCCTTTGAGTCAGCCTGGCTCTGAGCAAGGAGTGGTTTGGAGTTGGAGCATTGATTATCCACAGGGACTCCTGGGCTGGAGCTACACCTGCAGTGGGTTCCTGCAGCTGCTGCTCCCAGGAATGAGGCTTTTCCTGCCTGCCAGAGCTCCAGGAGCACAGGGATCCTGAGTGGGCCAGGGATGGGGTGGGTGCTTCATCGCTGTCATCCTCCAGGGTACTTTAAAACCTCATTGGGAAGGGTTTTGGATATTCAAAGGCACAACCAATCTCCAGGTTCCTTCTACTTTACCACAATTTAGGGTTTACAATCCAGCAGTTCAGGTTACAAAAATATTTTGTCGTGCTCACAGTTAGATACAAAAGCCAGTGTTGTAATGAATATTCTGGTAGTTTACAGAGAGTCTTTACAGGGCTGGAGCAGGAATGGAAGCGTTCCCTTTCTTGTGAGCACCAGGAACTTCTGAGGAATTATTTTGAATGATACATGCCAATATAAATAACAGTAATTAGATCAAGCTACAAAAGTGTGGAAAATTGGGTTAAATATTGGATAAACTTCCTGGTAATAAGATATACTGGGCTGTGGCATAGCCTGCGTGTGGAAGCAGTTTTGCATGCAGTTTTAGAGCTCAATTAATATATTTCTGTGTTGGCAGAGAAGGCCTACTCTTTTGATAATCTGATAGAGCATCTCTAATTCTTTCACCTTGGGTATATTAATACTGCACATAATTAAAATCGGTTCATGATAAATTAACTAATTTGCCCTTAGAGTGATCAAAGACCCTTTTGCCCTCAGGGTTTGTAGTAGCTGCTGTTCCCCCCTCCCCACCTCCATTTTAATCATCAGTCTGAAATGTTTATTGGAAAAAGAAAAATTTCCAGGAATTAGGCTCTGAAAGTCCCCAGCTCCTGCAGCTAGTGAAGTGTAAGGATGCCCTCTGCTGAGCGTGGGCTCAGGAGTTTTGGGTTGGAAGCAGAATTTCCCTTGCTGGGTACAGAAAGGATTGGCTGAGCAAGTTGGATGTCAGGTCAAATTCACTCATTCTGATGTGCATCGTGAATTGAACCAGAAGCACAACCTGCAGGTACTGGAAGAAGTGTGCAAACTGTAGATAATTTACTCATTGGGATTTAAAAACCCCAATAGCTCAAGCATCAACTTTCTGCAGAAAGGTGCAGCACCTTTCTAGCTCTGCAATCCAGTAACCTGGACACGGTGAGAAATATATTCAGTGACACTGGAACAGTGATGCTGAGAGGTTCTAAACACATTAGAACAGTAATGTGGTAAAATATATCACTGTTCCTCCTGAGAGCTTTTTTAGTCCTTCTAATGATGGTCAAGAGGAACACAATAATAAGGCAGTGATAAATATGACATGCATGAATAGGTTAATCTATTTTCAAGTATTGCTTTGAAGTTTTCTCTATGCTGTGAAGTCTGGTCTGACAAAAAGCTTGTGGAAAAAAGTTCACAGAAAGTTGAGAAATGTGTGGATCCATTAGCCAAGGGAACTCTTCAAGAGGGATACCATGTCACTTGCTTCATTTCTGAAAAGATCTGGGAATTCAGAAAAACCATGAACAGCAATGGAGAGCTAATCCTGTGCTGCCAGTTTAAATCAGATCAAAATTTCCTATTTCTTTCATCTCAGTTAAGGCCAAGTCAGGACTTGAGTTGGTCTCAGATTGTTGGAGGAGGTTCAGCACCATCTTAGCTCCCTCTCCAGTCTCCTCCCTTTAGCATGCAAAGTATCAGAGAGGCCACTGCCCACTTCAAACTCAGCTGTGTGTGCCATGAAAAGCAGCAGTATTTTTGTGAGGCAAGTGGTGATGGTTTGTCATTGAATTAACCATATAAATAATTCAGCATACCTGAGGAAATTTGGAGGATAACAAGCTCTGAAATAGATATTAAAACCCACAGTACTGAATTCCAATTAAAATTTATGTTAATAGCAGAATTTTCTTTTACAGAAGGTACTTTTGTTCTAACTCTGGTTTTAATCAGCTGAATCTAATGCAAATAAATGATTCTGTTACAGTTTACTTCATATGTAACAGTACAATATAGTTGGGGAAATGGGCTGAAAGAAACCTACACCTGAGGAGGCACAAATGTCACTTGTGTCACTTCTTTGTCCAGTGACTGAGCAGTGAAGCAGGGTGCCCAGTGAGGCTGTGCAGTTTCCATCCTTGAAGACATTTCAAAAGCTGTATGGGCAACCTTGGCAAACAGCATCTGGTAGCCTTGCTTGAGCAGGGGGCTGAGCCTGATCCCCTCCAGAGGTCCTTGCCAATCTCAGCCATTCTGTGATAATAGTCCAGATAACAAATTAGGCAAACGTGGTGCTAAAAGCAGATATATCCTGACATTAACCACTACTATTTCATGCATGGAAGGAGAGATTTCAGAGCAGCAAAGTCAATAAGAGCAGCAGCTGTGGATGTGAGCAGCACAGTGGTGTCTAAGCCTTTGATACCGAGCAGCAGTGCCCAGGGCCTGGCTGTGTGTAAGCAGACCCAGAGCTTGCTGCTGCTATTGAAACAAGCTGGATCTGCTAGTTCACATGAGGTGAAAATACCCTAAATCCTGGATCTTGCTATCTGAGGATAAATTACTACAGGAGAATATAGCCATATAAGTAACAATGTTAGAAAAAGTAAATTGTGTTATGCTCTGTGCCTGTCTTTTCTAAATATTGTTATAAGCATCTGAAAGCATCTGAGTCTGACTTCACAACTGCAGTAAACTCACTGCAGAACTGCAGCAAAACCTTCTTACATGGAAGGAATCACAGGCAGGTTTTTCCCTGCTGTAGAATGGAGATGTTTCCAGCCTCCCAGGTCCTGAACTGGCAATTCAGAGCAGTTTGATTGCCTGCTTGATTGTTTGTGAGATAACGGTGAGATTGGCAGTGGCAGGGTAATTTACTGAAGATTGCAATGTCAGACAATATCCAAGGGGGCTCGTGAGCATAAAGATGTGATTCACATGACTGACAGGAGCCTGAGGGATTGATATGCCCATTCCGAGTTCATGGTGTCATCACAAGTGTTTGGCTACAGCATCCCATAATCGTCTGCATGATGAGATCATTACAGGCAGAACTTTTGCTCACCTCTAATAACAGGTATGGCCAAAATGGGATGCAGCTCGAATAGGTAAATGTAAATTTGTCAGAGAGAGAAATTTATATCCTGTGGTGTGCCTGTTATTTCTAGTGTGTTGATAGGATTTCCTTGCCTGGTGGTCATCTGAGAGCTGCATGGACTTAACAGTGGGCAAAGCTCTGTTCACAGTTGCAGAGGTGTCACAGACTGGGGGAGAAGCTGAGGAATTCTCAGAGCTTAACAGGAAAACTGCCTTGAGTTATACCCTGAAGCTAATGATGTCCTCAGAATGATTATATAAAGAGGGGAGAAAATTAGCTGCAGCAGAACAGAAAGATCCTGCAGCCTTGTTGGAAAGAATTTCAAGATGAATGGAGCTCTTAATGTGAATAGGCGAGTGACCTTAAAGCAACATATAGCTCTCACAACAACATTGTTTGTCTGACTTAAATCTCCTTAGAGGCCTGAATGAAACATTGTCAGCATAACTTGGCAATTTTGTTTTTAAATCAGGTCAGGCACAGTCATTTCAGGCACACAAAATGGGTTGGAAATAAAAGGCTAATTGTAAAATAAGAATGTTTTTTATAGTTTTAGATTGTTTCTTTTCCTTTAGGTTGTTGTTTTTCCAGTTATTTTTCTAGCTACTTTGCTGGTCTGTTGTCCTCTGGAAAATCCTGAAAATGCATGAGTCATGATCTTAACCTAAGGTACTTTTGTCCGCTCCCATACTGGAATGCTCTCTCTTGTGTATGATTTGGAATGCATGCCCAGGCCATATTTGTATTCAAAAATCAGATTGATACACCTTGGGAAGTTTTACAGACATAAGTAGATTGCAGATTGAACTCCTGATTCTTGCCAGAGTAGATGAACAAATGTTTGTAAATTGTTAGAAATTATAATATTTCAAAGCAAGTGGTTAATAAAATCAGTAGAACTCCATTGACAGAATATATTTCAGTTAAATAATGATACGAAATGAGGAGATGATGATAGAATCGTTACTGTATGTGCTAAAATTGTTATTTATCTAAGTATACAGGGTGATCTCCCCCTTGATTCCATTTTAATTTCTAGTGTAAAAATTCTATTTTTTTTCCTTAAAAATGGATCATAAAAAATATTCTTTATAGATAACCTAATCTGTAACATGATGACTGAACCCACCAACTTTGTGGCTGATCCTTCCTTATCCAATCATGCACACAAGTTGTGAGCCAGGTGTCCATGGGAGGTGGGAGTTCCAGCAGTGCTTCCCTGGGAACTGCCAAAATGGCTACAGTGTAATTTGCGTTTTACTCAGCTAATGATAGCTTTGTCATCCCTATCACCTCTTAGCTCCTCAAATAGAACAAATAAAATCAAACAGATAATTCTCAAGACAAAAAATAAAATAAAATAAAAACAGCCAAAGAAGCTAATAACTTAAACAGAAATCCTTTATTGCTTCCATTTCCTTTTGCCTAATTTCAGCCTTTGATTTTTTGGGATTTATCCTCATCTAACCCCGGGTTAAATTAATTGTAGTGGTTTTAAGCAGTGTGCTCAAAAGCCTCATCCTCATGGCACTGTTGACTGAGTTACCAGGTTTGGGGCATGGGGATGGTATGGAGAGTGAACCATTCTTCCCAGCTTTCCCAAGCTTTCCATGGGTATTGCTGCTCCACAGCTCCGTGCTGCATCTCAGTGGTGCCTGTTACCTTTCAGATGGCCTGGTGGACTGCCTGGACCCCGACTGCTGCCTGCAGGCCACCTGCCAGAACAGCCTGTTGTGCCGGGGCTCGCGGGACCCGCTGGACATCATCCAGCAGAGCCACGCCGGGGCCGCCGCCGTCCGGTCCTTCTACGACCGCATCAAGCTGCTCGTGGGGAAGGACAGCACCCACATCATCCCTGGGGAGAACCCCTTCAACAGCAGGTGAGGAAGCCCTTCAACAGCAGGTAGCAGCTGGGAACATCACACCTGTCTTGGTTTGAAAAGACAAGTGTCTGCTAAGGAAGGCAGAAGCCTCCCCTTACAAATGGAAAATGTAAACCCCCTCTCTCCCAATTGCTGTAATTTTGAAATTAAGGGGCTCTCAGGCAAAAATAGGGGAATAGGAATAACAATTCTTTACTAGGAAAACTAAAAATACAAATGTAATAGTACAAACAACAAAAAACTACTGACAGGGTAAGAACATGCCCTGTCGCCCTGTGGGTCAGGGTGGTGGCACAGTCCCATCCCATGGGGGCTCAGCCCTCCTGCAGTGCCAGCTGTGCTTCTGCTGGAGCAGGGATCCTGCACAAGGGGGAAGTTTTCCTCTGAAGCTCCAGGGTGCTGGAGATGGGCCTGCTCTCCCTCTGGGAATGCAGGGCAGGAGAAAGCTGCTCCTCTGGGAATGCAGTGGGCAAAGGCTGCTGTGCTGTTCCAGGCTCAGATTGTATCCAGGTAGGAATGCTTGGCTCCTGCCCTGGGCAGAGCATCTCCCCATGGGATGCTGGAATTTGATCAGCCATGCAGGGACACTCAGTGGCCATGGACAGAAGATAATTAAAAATTAATGGCCCATGAACAGCAGAGATCTCCTGGAGGGAGGATTGGGAGAGATAAAGAAAATTGCCCCATGAACAGAAGAGAGCTTCCCCACCTCTGACAGATAGGAATAGAAATACACACACCCATTTCCAACCTAAGACACACCAGATCTGTGCATTGCATGGGAAAATTTCTGCAAGTGATTCTGTTTGTGGTTTAGCAGGAGCTGCTGCTGCAGGTGCTTCATCTCAGGCATTGATCACACTGAGGTCACACAGGTGCAGTTTATGATGTGGCCTCTATTTTATAACAGAGCTTTATTAGCATTTCAACAGTCTGGCAATGCCCAGAAGAAGGTTTCTTCCACTGAGCAGGAGCTTCTGAGGTTTATATTTTATGAAAACTGCAGTCTAGAGAAAGGGAAAACACTAACTAGTTTCCAGTTCATTTTTAATGTACTGCCATTAGCACAAATTTCAATAAAGGAATAGCATTTCAAATAATTTTTAAAATCCATTGATTTATGGAGTTTTATTATTTATTCCTTACATTAAACCATTTTACTTGTAGCATTGATCCACCTGACTAGGTTTTCTTTTTCTTCTTGTTTTTTTTTTTTTCTGTGCATGTTTTCTAAGATTATTAATTATATATTTTCAATGAATCTAAAAGCCAGGACATCATTAATTAATATTTGATGCCATTGTGTGCTTACAAGAAGATTGGTATTTATCAATATTATATAAATAGGTCTCCATGGAAAGATGCTAAGAAAATGATGAGTATATTATTTATGTTCATATCACCAAAGCTAAAACTGAAGAAAGAGCTTCATTTGACATAACACCCAAAGGATTGCACTTCATTACAGGAAACTGTTTTCTCAGTCAGGATCCCATTACAGGCTTAGTGGGTGATATAGAGCATGTCCCTAAATATTTGTCTGTGAAAAGAGGATCATAATGTTTCTGGATACACCAGGCAGGTCCCCATTGTACTCACCCCCATGCTGCACACAATCATTTCCATATTCCATCAGGAAACCCCTGTTGGATCCTATCCTATGTAATATAGATTTTATGCTATTCTATAAAATACTCCATGCATACACACATGGAGTTGTTAAAAAAGTAGAAAAAAAAAATTGTTCTGCTTTCACATTTTTTAATCCTGGAAGTGTTAAAGGCCAGGTTGGATAGGGATTGGAGCAGCCTGGTCTAGTGGAAAATTATCCTGCCCATGGCAGGGGGTTGGAACAAAATGATCTTTAAGGTCCCTTCAAACCCATTCTGTGGTTCTATGAATTAGTGCTCTAAACTATACAGGAGTTGAGCATTTCAGTCCTGAGGCTTCTTTAAAAACAAAAGAACTCATTGGAAACTTTAGATTTTTATTTTTTCTTATGTTCCTCATGGTAGGATTCTTAGTTCTGTTTTATTCCTCTGAGCTACTCTGCAGATTTTAACATATCTTTGCAAATGACCTATTAATGATGTTAAAATTGGCCTTCACCTCTAAGTTTTGAGGTATATCTACTTCTGGTAATTGTATAGCTCAGCTGCTATTTTTGGTGCCAATTTTAGGCAAATCTAATGTATAGTGTCAAATTGTAAGTTTTAGAACTGATGGCTTTGTCTTTTAAAAGTGTCACAAAGTTGAACTCCCAACTTTTCCATATACTGAAGCTGCCATTGTTTCAAAAAGTAGCTCCTGTAGTTGTGAGCTGTTTGCTTAGCTCAGTCTGTCATTCCATTGAAAGACATGAAAAAGTGGTACAAAATAATGGTTTGGGGTTTTTTTCCAGTCTTAGTTTAAGAAAAATGGGTTTTTTTACTGTGCTAAAGGTATAAATAACAAAATTTATTGATTGTGAAAATAGGTAAATCCATTTTTTTGTTTTTCTGTGCAGAAAGAACATTAAATTATGCTTTCAGGGGGGGAAAAAAGCCATGTGTTTTTACACATTTAAATTCCTTGGTAAAAAATGTATATAATTCCTGTATTAGTTCAATTTTTCAGTTACACTTTTACCAAAGAAAGGTGATCATATGTGTTACTATTAGTCAAAACATTACTTCTTATAAATCTGTATTTTAGCTACATTTTAGCTTATTCTAATATCCATTGTGGTCCTTATTTAGAATTTTAGAAATAAAAAGGAATATAATCGACCAAAATATTTTTATTCAAATTATTTACTAAAATATTAAAATTGAAGGTAGAAAAAATTAAGTCATGAGCATTATTAGTTTTCCTCTGCCATCTGACAATTTCTTTCTAGATCTACTTTCTGCACAGTTTCCCCAGAGAAGCTTGAGTGACTTTTTTCCTGCAACTATTTCTATGTGTTTGTCACATAGAATAATTCAAGTAAAATGAATAATGCCAAGACAATTATCTTGGTCCAATGTGTTCCCAAGCAGATTTTTCTCAACAGGTTTCAATTTCTATTAAATTCCATATATTCTGCTACAAAATGTTGATTTAGCAAATTAAAAATTGACCTGACAGGTCAAGAAGCACTTGAAAGTCCTACAAGAAAAGTAACAGAAATGGCTCGTTTTTATTCATTAGATTTTTTTAAATGTAATACTGAAGAAAATATTGCACCCTGTTTGGAATAAAAATATGAGGAAATAGCTGTTAAATAGCCAATATAACACAGTTAGAATTGTACCTCCCAGCCCCTGAACATCTCAGAGGGGGCAGAAAAGAGCTGCAGACCATGCCTGGTGTGACTGATGGAGGGAGCTGTCCTGTGCCAGGGCCCCCCAGAGCCCAGCAGCGTTTGTCAGTGTCCAGGCAAGCTGAGCCCGGGTTAATCCCCGTGTCCAGCTCAGACAGGCCGGGTTCAGGGTGCTGTGCCTGAGCTCTGGGAGCAGCCCCAGTTCTGCTGGGAAGGGCTCTTCATTCCCTTCTGTCAGCAGAGCAGAGCTGGAGGCTCATGCTGGAGGCACAGGCTGGTGAATATATAAATCTTTTCACCCATGACTACAGCAAAGTGCAATTTTACAATCCCTGAGATTATGGGCTAAGAGGACTTTGCTCTCTCCCTGTTTTCACCTTCTCCAGTTTTCACATTTCCAGTGTAGCAGTGGAAGCCATCTATAAAGAGCTTTTCCTTTTCCATTGCCCTTTTACCAAACAGCTTCCCCCTCCCAGTCTGCTTCTCTCAGGGCTCAGGGAAGATGGAAGGGAAAGGAGCCAGGGGCTGGAAACTCCTCTCCAGCTGGGAGCAGCAGCACTTTGTGCCTGCTGTGCACTTAGCAGCAGCAGAGCACTTGCCAAAGAGAAAAAACTGACTGTGCCTCTTAGAGAAATAGCTCATCTTCATCTCCCTTAGGTTAAACAAAGCTGCTTATCCTGCTGGCCAAAGAAATGCTTTGTCTTGCCTGGGTGTAAAACTGGACTTCAAACCAAATCCTCCTCTTGGCAAAGTGCAAGCAAGGGTTCCAAACCAGGCTGGAATGCAGTGCACAGGTATCAGTCATTCCCTAAGCTGAGGGAATGTGAACATGAAGAATTGGTGATAGAAAACAGAGATGTGGCTTTGCACCACATTTGTCAAGTGTGGCAGGGACCCACAGGTGTGGTACTGTAGCCTGCAGGGAATTCTGGAGTTTCAGTGTGGCTGCAGGGGCACAGCTTTGGCCTGGCTGAATGGGAGGAGCTTTGCACTCTGCAAAGCCTCGTTAGACAACGAGGCAAACCCTTGTTAGGCAAGAAAAGCACTGACTTCCATTCTGTGTGCACTTCTCACTGCATAAACAAGCATTTTCTTGATTTAGGTGTATAGAGGGAGCTGGGCAATATTGTGGTCCCTCAGTATTCTAAAAACCTTTTAACTGTATTTAGAGTAAATGAGGTACAGGTGTTCCACTACTTCACTTATAAATGACATAACCTCCCTTTGTAATTAGCTTCAATACCTTTAATTCTCTTTCTTTTCCAGTCTTGTGTCTCTCATAAGAGGCCAAGTGGTGACTACAGATGGGACTCCTCTGGTTGGGGTCAACGTGTCGTTTGTCAAGTATCCAAAGTACGGCTACACCATCACTCGCCAGGATGGCACGTGAGTGTCCCTGCTCCACTGAGCCCCTGTGTGCTGGGGAGTGTCTTTGCTGATTAACAGATGGTGTGATCTAATGGAACCATGTGGTACCAGGCATTGCCTTCCTCCCAGGGCAAAGAGCTATTAAGTAAACACAAAAGTAATTTTTCACGCGGCATTTTGAATACTAACTGCATGTAAATAGGAACAGGCTGACTTCTGATAATGACGTGTTAGCAGGCAGACTCCTTTCAAATAAATTGCTCTGTATCTACGAAAACATTTGTGGGCTACAGCAATATCCAGCTGAGACAAGAAATATTTTATTTTAAAATGCAGAGCAGGCTAACACTTCTAGGAAAAAAAAAATAAAGCATCATTATAGAATAGTATATTTTGTTAAAATTTCCCTTCTGCTTCTCTTTGCTTTTGAAGATACACTCTCTTTTGAGTTTCTTCAGGGTAGAATGTAATCAAAATATTCTAATTGAATATATTTAGACAATTTCCTGCTGTGCAAAAAAGTGCTTTTTCCCTCTTGTATCAGCTTATTTGAAATGCACACAAATTCAGATAAACAAAAGTCATTGTGTCATGGTTTATCTGGTTTACTGACTCTGGTAACTAAAACAGTTTATCTGACACAGGCATTGTAAACATTTGCCATTTTATCTTGCTCTTGCATAAAAACAATGGAATTGATACAATTAATAGGAGTCAACTGAATTATAGGGAATATTTAAGTTCCATACTTTCCAGAATATTAATCTGTTATTATAAAAGTATAATGTTGTTCAGTGGTTTAAAATTGCAGTAAGTGGTGAGCTTAATTTTATTTAAATCTGCATAGATTATTGACATCATTGAGTAATTTGTTACATTGCCAGCATTTACATAGAGCTGATGCCTCTTTCTGTTGTCAGAACAACCTGGAAGCATTTCTCATTTAAGCCAGGTTTGAAATGCCTGTGCAGCTCCACATTACTGCTGTGATTGTGTAGGGGGTTGGGAGTAAACACCTAATTTCTCTGGAAAATGATAGATCAGTTATCTTGGGGACAAGAATTCTTACTTGTAGAGCACTTCTCATTCTTGCTGTCTTACTGCAATGTGTCCCATTTTATGTTTGATGGACAGGATCTTTTAGGAAAGGGATAATTCAGTGTCCAGCTCAGAATGCACTTGGCTTCTCTGCTGTTTCTATATAAATGTGACTTGTGATAATAAATGTGGTGGTTTGTTTGTTGGGTATTTTTTTAAATATTTAATACAGAATTTATAATTTTATCGGAATGAGCTTTGTCCAAGTGACTTCAAATAGCCAAGACATTGCTTGTCTTGGCTAGTTTTCAGCTGTTTAGTTGCCAGAGGTTCACATGCCATTATTGATCATTGGAACCATGACATTTAAAACATAATCATGGTCTGCTCATTCTCCCCACCTCTGGTGATGTGGGGAGAGAATCACTAGGGTAAAAGTAAGAAAAATCTTGCACTGAGATAAAAACAGTTTAATAACTGGAATAATAATTATAAAAACTGTTGTAAAAAGGAAAATAACAGATAAATTAATTCCCAGCCAGGTTCTGAGCACCTTTTCCCCTAGTTTATATAATGACAGTAGCACTGTTTGATCTGGGATATGCCTCAGTTCAGTTGGGGTCAGCTATCCCAGCTGTGTCCCCTCTTGGCTCTCATTCTGCTCCCTGGTGGGATGGGATGAAGAGGAGGAGGAAAGGTCCTGACTCTGTGTACACATTGCTCTGCTATAATAAAAGCATCTCTGTGTTATCAGCATTATATCCTGAATCCAAAACTCAGCACTCCGCCAGCTACGAGGAAGAAAATTAACTCTATCCCAGCCAAAACCAGACAAATACCCATGGCTGTTGGTATGCCTCTGTAGCTGTCTCATTAGCCAGGAATGTGATTACTGGAATTCCTCAGTCTTGTCACTTCTAAAGGCCACGCTTTTCTAGGTTTGACTTGGTTGCAAATGGTGGAGCATCCCTGACTCTGCACTTTGAACGGGCCCCATTTATGAGCCAGGAAAGGACAGTGTGGCTGCCGTGGAACAGCTTCTATGCCATGGACACACTTGTGATGAAGACAGAGGAGAACTCCATTCCCAGCTGTGATCTCAGTGGCTTTGTCCGTCCTGACCCAGTCATCATTTCCTCACCACTTTCAACTTTCTTTAGTGACGCTCCCAGCCGCAATCCCATTGTGCCAGAAACCCAGGTAAGAACAGTGTGAGTGAAAAGGGTGCAGAGATCAATGGCCAGGTGACAGGTCTGACCTGAGCACAGGGCCATGTGTCCTCCGCAATTGCTACAGCAAATGTCTCTGCAGAGCTGCATTCATTCTGACAGGTACCAGGTTTTCTAATGAGGGCTGCAGGAGGCAGCCCAGGTTTATGTCCCCCAGACACATTTATCTTTGATCACCCTGCACCCTCCCATTATCATACGACATATCAAGTATATCTGTGTATTTCAGTTGCCAGCTTAGGTGTTTCAAGAGAATTTTGCAAAGGCTTGGCATGTTATTTCTTACTTAGGACAAGGGCAAACTCTATTGGTGCTATTTTTTCACTGCTGTATGCAGTGAGGCTTTATACTGTTAGTGGAAGTTGGTGGTTCCTATATTTCTTATGTTTCCCTTGCATATAACTTGCAGTAAAAATGTTTGTGCTTATTTGCCCTTTTGCCAGCAGTGGGCTCTTAAAAAGATGTGTATCCAGACACCAAATAATTATTTGTCAGAAATGTCAGCTGAACTGTGTTGGTTTGAGGACATCCACTCCTAGTAAGAAAAATACATAAGCTCATAAGAATACACAAGGTGATACCTTAAAAAAAACCCCAAAACATTAATGTAAAGTGTCTGATCTCTTTCCTTCCCAGGTTCTTCATGAAGAAATTGAGATCCCTGGCTCTAGTATAAAGCTCAGCTACCTGAGCTCCCGCACTGCTGGATACAAATCCTTGCTGAAGATCATCATGACTCAGACACTTGTGCCACTCAATCTGATCAAAGTTCATTTGATGGTAGCAGTAGAAGGACATTTGTTCCAAAAATCATTTCAGGCATCTCCCAACTTGGCATATACATTTATCTGGGACAAAACAGATGCCTATGGTCAGAAGGTTTATGGGTTGTCAGATGCTGTAGGTAAGTCACATATACAAGCTCTAAAACTTTCCAAGAAACACCTATAATTCTAAATAAGAAAACTGCAAACTTTCTTATGGAGGAGAGCATTTAGACTGAACAGTTCTTGTCTCCCTGACACAATTTATCTTTGTATTATGGTTCTTTTACACATTCAAGATCATGTTCAGAGGGTCTAAATTCCATCAACATGCCTGGGTTTCCTGCTCAGTACCTGACTTAGAAGATTTAGACCAGGCAATAGGATAAACTGGCCACAGGAACTTAGGGGAAACCTAATCCAGCATTACAATTTTATTTTCTTTCCTTATAAAATGGCCCTCATGCTGGAGTGGCTGGCAGTCTGCAGTGCATTTGGGTTTTCACACATAGCCTTATTGTAGTCTCTTGTGGTATAACACATTTGAAATGAAAATGCTGTTCCTCTAATGCTGTTCAGTCTTGTAGTTCTACAGCTATTTTTAGTTAGCTTGGTTCTAGTGGGTGGGAAGAAGAGTGATCATCGTAATATTTTTCAGTTTTCATTGACTGAATAATTTTAATACAGCAGTGTTAAAAATGAGCATCAGAGCTGTGCCAGTGTGGAAAGAGAAGATTTTTTTTTTTAATCTTAATTATTTTCTAAATTTTCTAAATTCTTCTTTGCTATAGTTTTTCTTTCTTATGTTATTGCATGGGATATTGCTTTCCTGTGTAATTCTCACAGTATAATTGTGCTTAAATGCACATGAAGTTTTCAGTGCCCTTTGGTATGTAGTATGTAAAGTGAATATGCTAAATAAATGCTGTGAACATCTGGAAAATTAAGAATTTATCTTGTCCTGCTATCTGATATTTTAATTATTTAATAAAATTTTACTATATTTTACAAATTTTCTTTCTCACTGTCCTCTAGCAAACCCATCACTTCCCAGTGTGAGCTGTTAAAATAGAAGTGATCAGATCCCTGCAGAGTACATGTGAATGAAGTTTCAAATTTGTGTCTAGTCAAAGATCTGAATATAATATTGTAGAATAAAAGTGAGGAATATAATCACTCCATCTTCTTGAGGGGGCTGGGGGACTGGAATACTCGATGATTTGAATGTGCTCTGGACATTTAATTCAGTGTTTTTCCAGCAAGTATATTAGATTTTATTTCATTTCAGTGTCTGTGGGGTTTGAATATGAGACTTGCCCCAGTCTCATTTTATGGGAGAAGAGGACAGCACTGCTGCAAGGATTTGAACTGGATCCCTCAAACTTAGGAGGATGGTCTCTGGATAAACATCATGTCCTTAATGTCAAGAGTGGTGAGTTAGTTCATTCCATTGCTGTCCTACTTGGAGTTTTTATTTGCATTATACTTACACTCCCAAAAATGCTATTTCTCTACTCTTTTTATTTCATCTGTAGCTCACTAAGGTATGAGGCATAATTCAGTTGTCAGAAAATTTCTGTAGAATTTTAAGACATTTGTTACTGTTATGGACAGGCTGAATTTCTTAAAGTCCTAATCTTTATCCTCTATTCTTTTTTTCATTTATTCCCCTGTAACATCTTTCTGTCTTCCCTGTTTTTCTCATGTTAACCACATCTGTTCCTGGTTCCTTTTGCTTGAGCTCCTTTTGCCCCTAACCTGAGGGAGTTTACAAGGAGTATGAGTCTGAGACAAGATATTGAGTCTCCTTTGTCTTTCTCATTAGTCACCCATTTGTTTTTTCCTCACTTTTTTTTGTTTTCCCATATCCTAAGTTGATTCTTCTTGATCTTTGTATTTTACTAACAACTCTTTGGGAGCTGAATGCTCAGAATACATTTTATTTGTTCCCTGCAAAGTGTCATTTGCAGCCTTCCTGCTGCTCATTACTAAATAACAAAATGTATTTCTGCTTAATAAATCTGAAGTATTGTTCAGAGTTGGCAAGATCAGGTTATTTGAACTCACTTCCAGTGCTGGGCAGTGGATCCACGTTTGGGTAGTGCATGCCAACAGAGAATGTTGCCACCAGTGGGGAGCCAGTTATGTTAGGATCATACAACTTCATTCCCACAAGAACACAAGGCTGAAAGTTTCCAGCCAGATTTCCACAGTTTTTGATGACACAGAATATGGTCACACTGTCAGAAAATCCACTCCCTTCTTGGAGCAGGGGTCTGCTCTTTGAACAAATATTTTGAAGATAAATCCTATCTTGAAGGTATTTTCTTGAAGTCTAATAGAGATCTGTACCACCAGCTTCCCTCTTGCCTTTTATCATTGATCCTTAGCAGCCCTTCTGGAAGTTTGATCTTCCTCCTATCTTTTCATTTTCTGAGCTATCATTTTCTCTGGTTCCTCCATTTCTCATTTTTCATTTTCCATTAAAAAAGTGTGAAAGACTGAGAGATGGAAAGAGAACAGTAAGGTTGGCACAAAATTCCAAACAAAACATGATAGAGGAAACTGCAGTGAGACACAAATAAGGAACTGCTCTTCTCCACCCACTCAGAAACCATCTAAGTCCCAGGCCAGAGCTGTGTGGCAGGGTTTTCTTTCATAATGAATACCAAAGGACTCTGAGTATAGGTTTGGGTCTGTGGGTGTGTATGTGTGTGGGTTTTAACGCTGAATCTTCATTACACCTTTATTTTTACTGCTGCAAAATCCTTCTGCTCTTTTTGCACCATTGAGAAACTGAACACCAGAGTCATTTCAATGTACAGTCCTTAAAAGCAACTGTTGAAAAGAAAACAAGTCCTCAAGTCCCCTGCAATGAACAGTGGTAATAACCACTTCTTCTCCTCTCTGTCCTTAGGTATATTGCACAAAGGCAACGGAGAAAATCAGTTTCTCACTCAGCAGCCAGCTGTGATAACCAGCATTATGGGGAACGGGCGCCGCAGAAGCATATCCTGTCCCAGCTGCAATGGCCTGGCAGAAGGAAATAAGCTCTTGGCCCCTGTGGCACTGGCAGTGGGTATTGATGGAAGTCTCTTTGTTGGGGATTTTAACTATATCCGGCGTATCTTCCCCTCCAGGAATGTCACGAGCATACTGGAGCTGAGGTAAGGCTTCACCTCAGCATTTCGCTTCTGGAGCCTGTGCTCAAATCAGCCTTTACCATTACTTCTTATAATTTTGAAAAACATTGTCACTTTCAACTTATTTAAATTCCAGTGGAGAAATGGGGCACAGAAATGCATAGTTCAAAGTCTGTAACTTACCCGAGCAGTGACTAAAGTGAAGGACTTAAGAGCAGAAATTAACTTGTACAGAAAGTACAAAGCATCTCTTTCTGTCTCGTTAGTAATCACTGATTGAGTCCTCCCTCAGTGCATCTTGTAGTTTTGTTTGAAAAGTCTAGAATTGATTGCCCTTAGGTACTGAGCCACAGTGACAGGCAGAGGTGTAACAATCTCCTGAGGTCAGAGGGAAGCTTCTCCTGCCAGTGGTTTTGAGATCCTCTTTCACATTGCTTCTCCATGCTTGTGTCTGTTTCTGTAGGTTGACAAGTGCAGTTCAGGTTAACACACAGATTCATTCTGCATCATCAGAACTCTTTTTAAGATTTTAACTCTTTCCCCCTGTCCCGTGCCCTGCTCCAACCTTAAGATTTGATCACTTAATAGGGAAGGCATGAGTGTAGAATGTACCACTTCACCCATTTCTGTTCCATCTCCTTTTTTCATTTTTCCAGGAGAGGCAAGAGCTATTGCTTCAAACCCTTACTCATGTAACTGGACCTTATACTTTGCAGGAGAATGAGGAAAAACAGCATGCCCTGGCTGTCTGCTGCCCCTCCTGGAGCCCACTCAGGCAGCAGCACTGGTGCTCCTGGAAACTGGATATAACTGCAAAGTCCATTGAGTGAATTTAGGTCGCAAGTGTTTTTTAATTATATGACCAATAACCAATTCCTCTGCTTCCACATTTAGTTTTTAATTAGTGGGAAAAAGTGCAAAATGATTGGACAGTTTAAGAATAGAAGGCCTAGCTCTATTTTACACCTCTCTTCCATTCATGTCATTCTGTTGATGTCACTATTGTGAATTCTGATTCTATAGATAAGAAAAGAGATCTGATTCAGGCCAATTCAACTCTGAAATCACTCTCTGACACCTACCTCATACACCATCAGGCTGCCTCATTATTTTTTTTTAAAAGTCATGGATCATCCAGTGCTTTCTGCTAGCAGCTCAGTTTAAACCACAGAAGGTAGCTGGCATGGAAGTGTGACCTGCTATAAATATTTATACCAATATGCACTATAATTCTGCATTATACAGAATATGTTAATTATTTTATTCTAAGTTCTCAGATCTTTTTAGCTTTCTAGTAAATAGGACTACAGCTTTATAGGTGAGGAGAAACATTTTCAGATTAGGATATTTCTTATAATGCATTTTTATGCACCTGACCAATATCAGCCAGTGACAGTTTCCTAGCCCACCTTGTGTTGCCTCAAAATTTACAACAGTATTACTGTGAGTACTTTGCTTCCTCTCTCTGTGAGAGAGATTGAAGGGACCTTGGGTTTTCATCATGTGTGAGGGAAAATTGGAAAGGACATCAGTAAAGAAATAGAAGATGGAATTTTATCTGCTGTTGTCCACTTTCTCCTTTATGAAAGTCTGTTTTCCATAGCAGAGTTTCTTTAGCTTCTGTTATAACTAGAAGCAATTAACAATGAAGCTGATGCATTGTCAATGCTGTTGGACAGCTGCAAAGGACTTGACACACAAATTTTTAGGATCTACAGACTTTAGGATTATATTATGATGTCTTTTACCCACCCCGTTCCTCTAAAGGGAATTAAGGTCCATTCCAGCAAACATAATCTATAGCAGTAATTGTGATTCACTGCTCGTCTTGAAATGTGCATGAGTTACACGGGTAAGAGTTTGAAGATTTGAGCCATTTAAGTGTGAATGAGAGCAGAGTCTTCAGCTCATATCAAGTAGTTTGGATTATGTTGCAATCAGTGCATCCACAAGTATTACAAACCAAATACATCTCTTTGTTTAGATTTCACAGCTGATGTCATTTTGGTTTCTCATGAGCCCTATAAATCTTGAGTGCCTTTATATGTCAGAATATCCCAGTGTGCACATTTCCTTCACGCTGCCCTTTGTGAAGGTGCCTGGCTGGAATGGCCAGCAGGAATTTGGGCTCCAGCACTGCACGTGGGGCTGCAAGCTGGGGGCTGTGCCTGGAGTGCTGCAGCTCAGGAGTCACAAACCTCCTTGCTCTGTTCACTGCATATTCCTAAATGGAAATTACATCAACACAGTGAGATGCTGTGTGAGTGGAGAATGTGTTCATTTTCTTGTGGGAGGTAGAGAGCACTTTTCCTTTGGCTTTGTGGCTGGGCAGTAAGCTGTGGATCACTTAATGCTGTTTATCTCCCGTTGTACAGTACCTTACTGCTCACTTAGAAAGGGCTTTTTTACCCTAACATTGGCTCTGATAGGCTTAAACAGATACCGAGGAGCATCCAAACTTGCTTTAAGCAATTCTTTTAGTGACTAGGAGGGGAGAAAAACAATCTGCATAGTAAAAATGTGTCTAGAAATAGCCTGTTGGAAAACTGTTTTGGTTAAAGAGGTTGCCTCCAACTGGCAGACAATATCCAAAACCAGTGCTTCCCCCTGCCCAGATCTGCATTCAGAGAACTGCCAGTTTCTCTCACTCCTAGCCCCCAAGCTACACATATTTCCATGGGAAAATTCTTTCAGTGGTTCAGAAAGTTTCCTAAATATGAGGGGAGGGGGGTGGGGGCAGGGGTATTCTATAGGGAATTAGCTTGCAGCTCTATCCCTCCCAGTCACTCTTCATCTAAACTAAGCTAAGGCTAGTGCTGAAAAGAGATATCTTCTCCTGTGTCCTTTTGTAAAATAAAACAAATACTATGTTTGCTTTACCATCTATTCTTCAGCTAACTGTTTGTTCTTTTTTCTTCTGTTCCCTTTCTATAAAGAAATAAAGAGTTTAAACATAGGTAAGACATGAGCTCTTTCCCATATAATTTGATATGGTTTGTTTGCCTCATTGTGTTTGCTTTTTGTGTTGTGCTTCTTGTGTAATGTTATGTTCTTCATGTACCATATATAGAAACATTTTTATGTGCTAATTGTGTGTTATGAATATGATAAGCATTAGCAATTATGAAATGCAGTCAAAAAGCAGCCAATAAGTCCTGACAGTAATTAGAAATTTCTAGTAGAATGCAAGTATAATGAACCCCAAGCTAACTTCTAGATAAACACCTCTCCCTGCTGTCTATAATTGGTCTAAATGGTCAAGGTAAACTACAACAGCATTTTCACAAATGCCAGAAAGGTTCACAAAAGCACTAATGACTGCATATAGGTCAAAAACTCATTTTCTGGTCATTAATGATTTTCTGAACCCTCTGTCTTTTGCCATAATTTAGTTTATATTTCTTTTTTCAAACTCATTTAATAGCCAACCTGTGGGGCTGGCTGTGTGAAACCACTTAAAGCAGTCACTGTGAGATTCAGGAGGGAGGCATAACCTTCCTGGATGTCAGGAGGAGAGCACTAGGTCTTGTGGATGGCTGCAGCATAGGAAACATGTGTGCCTCCTGTCATGCCACACCTGGGACAGGGAGCATGTTCACCCTGGAGAAATCAAGGGCAAGAACAAGAAGAGCTCTTGTAAACTGTTTCATAGTGTCCTGTGCATTACCCTTTTAAAACCATACTTTCCATTTCTGTGATACAAGTTGTTGGAATAGATGGTCTGGACTAAACAGGATCAGTTCCCCTTAACAATATATTTGGCATAGTAACACTCCTAAGTATTCTTATCTGGGTGAATTCATTCACAATTTGCTAATGATTATTGGTGATGCTGGAGGCTCCTCATTTGCTTCAACTATGCCTAGTTAGTTTTTCATCTGCTTAGAGATTTGCTCTGGACAGCTTCTCTTTTGATTAACCTTAAAGAAAAGCTGCTGTTGACAAAGAATTTGATGCACATGTGGGAGGAACAGGGAGAATGAGCTGCATTTGATGCCCGGCCCCAGGCTCCCTCAGAGAGCAGAGTGAGGCTGCAGGTGGTGGTGACCACACATTCACTTGGGGGCTGGAGGCACAGACATTATTGGCAGAGGCCTCTGAGCAACACTGGATGCCATGGAAAATCTTTTAAAGCAAGTTACAATGCTTGGCCTCCTATAATTCAAGTGAAAGATTGCAACGGTGTGGAGAAAAGAGAGGCAGAGGTCTTTAATTGCTCCAATGCCAGTTTGAGGAATATTGAGTACTCATTTATAAAACAAATCCCTGTTTGAGGTAATAGTCTCATTGATTCTTCGGGAGCACAGTGAATGCATGTTACCTTCCAGCAGTCATTTTCTGTCAAATTCCCTCAAAAATTTGCTTCGAGTTTTCCACTATCTGTTCCTTGACCTAGTTCAGGAAATAGGGGAGGAGTATGGAACAGGTCTGCAGCCCCAGTGAGCTGCTCTCTGATCTGGAACTGAAGCTTGTGACTGACCCCTGGCACAACTGCCCTGGAGAGATCCCAGAGGAGAAGGGCAGGGTGAGCTCCACAGATGCACCATGACTGCAGGAGAGGAGAGGGAATATTCCCATATCCCATGTTCTGCCATTGCTCTTTACCCTGACTCATGTCTTATCCCATCCTAGGCACACCTAGGGCTGGCTGAGGGCAGAGGGAAAGCAGGGGTGGGCACAGCCTGGCAAAATCATGTGTGAAACAAGAGAGACCCTTCCATTCCTGCAGGGTGAGCAGCTCTCACCACTGAGTCCAGCAGGACCCTCCCTTCCAGGAGCAAGCAGCAGTGTCTGTGCCCAGCTCCAGCCTGTGCCCAGCTCCTGGCTGTGCCTGCCTCAGGTGCCCACCTGGCCAGGGTGGAGGTTGTGCCTTGTTTCAGAAGGGCTGTGCCAAAGGCACCAGCTGCAGGGCAGCCTTGAGCTAAGGCTGGGTGTGTTTGTGAGGTCCAGCACAGCACCAGTGCCACAGCAGTGTGTTCTTCAGTGTAAGGGGAAAGCATGATGGGGAAGAGAGCAGAGTTTGGAAGCAATGACAAACATGCAGGTGTTTGTATGGCTCAGATACCTGAGAGACTGGAGGAATCTCTAAAGTGGAAAGAACTATTTTTCTATGTTGAAAAGAGGGTTGAGCATTATTTTGGAGGGATGAGAAGGAATGTGATAAGGATGTAGTGAAGAGGTACAGTCTGCTGCTGAAGATAAGGAGACAAACTTGGGGAATAATGAGATTGTCCTCTAATCTCAAGCATGTCACTAGTTTCCCTGCATAACTTTGTCTACACCACTTAACCTCTCTGTGCCTCAGTTTCCTCCTCTGTAAAATGGGTGCTACACCCATCTTTTTAAAGTACTCTGAGATCCATGCATGAAATAAACCTGCCAAGTATTTTTTTTTATTTATTGTATTTCTTCATCTCTAATTTCTACACTCCTAGACTTCAGCAGATGGTATTGCCTCTGCCTACTGAAATGCGATCCAACCAATCTCCTTCCTACTTTCTACAGTCTTAGAACAAACCATTATTGACCTAAACCCATGGCATGTCAAAGACTGGCATAGAGGAAAATAACTGTAGAAAGTGGTATTTTGGGGCCTCCTCATTCCTCCAAATCTGGTCATGGCCACATGACCACAGTTATCGTGGTGTGCCGATGGATCCATCTGCCGAAAGTGGCTTTATTATAGTTTCAGCGATTCTGCTCAAGAAATGGCTTATGTCCATCATAGCTTACCTCTGTGTATCCTCACTCTTGGAGATGGGCACTTTTGCCACATGAAACTAGGAGTGTGGATATTTGGAGGCAAATATCTCTGGTTACTGGTAAGTAACCTTCATTTTTTTTTCTTCCCGTCTTCATTTGTCTTCTATGCTTTGAAACCACCATTGACCTTATTTATGCTCACCCATAGGCTCCAAAGGCTGGAAAATTCACATCATGCTTAAAATCCAAATAAACTGAGCAAAACTAGCCAGGCAAGATTTTGAAAATATTTCTGCACTGCAGTTCTTTGTGTGTGAATGTATATATATTGTGAAGATTGACATTTCTCAATTTGCAGATGATTTGCTAAAGTAGTTCCAAAATGTGACAAGCTGTCAAAAAACATATATTTCAGAAGAGAAGTAGCTTTCCATATGAGCGCCCATTCCAATCACAAACTGAGGACCAGTTTTTCAATAACAGAAGGTTTGGAGTTAAAGTCAGACACTTGGGGTCTCTGGTTTTAGTTACATAACCAACTTCATCTGCTGTAAATGAGATTCTCGATAAGAATGAATGAGAACAAATTTGCTTCAGAAATAAATTTGTTATGCCTCTGCCTCCTATTTATACAAGACCTCACAAATCTTGTGGCGTAATCTAAGTAACTCAGAAGCTGATTCTTTGATCCTACTCCTATGACTTCTGCTTCCAAAGGAAGTTAAACAAGGGAGCGGGAGGGGGGAAACAGATAAGCCGAAGAGAATTGACCTGGAGCAGATCTAAAGGGCTAAAGAGATCAAGAGGAAAGACTGCTGTGCAGCTCTGGCTTATTGGGCTCTGCTGTGCAAGGTTCAGTATAGAAGCATGAGTGAGATTTAAAATTACAATCCCTCTGAACCCTGACCAGGCCCTAATCAAGTCAGGTCCTCAGGTGATGGTCCTTCAGACCTCACCTCTCTATGAAGGTGTCAGACTTTCTTTCCAGATCTTTCTGTGCCTGATGAGTATCCAAGCTCTGAAAGCCTGTGAAGTTTCTAGACTGCTCAGCTGTTTCTGTTTTATGCTTTCTTTTTCTCTAAAGCAACAATCCTGCTCATAAATACTATCTGGCCGTGGACCCTGTTTCAGGCTCCCTCTACGTGTCGGACACCAATAGCCGACGGATTTACAAAGTCAAGTCCCTCACGGGCACGAAGGACCTTGCTGGTAACTCTGAAGTGGTGGCAGGGACAGGAGAGCAGTGCCTGCCCTTTGACGAAGCCAGATGTGGGGATGGAGGGAAGGCAGTGGACGCAACCCTAATGAGCCCGCGAGGTAAAGGAGGAAAAGAAGCTGGAGAGAATGACTGCGTGCAGCTAGGCTGGATGTGGAAATAATTATCTGGCAATTAAATCACTCCTTGCTCAGTGATTTTTATTCTGGGCTTTAATTACAGTGGATTGGCAAGTGTTCGTGCTTTGTTTAGTTAAAGCAAACTTTATTACCCTGGCTCTGAGTGCTGCAAAAGGAGAACAGAACACAAATTAGCAGGGTACCACTCACTCCAAGAAGCCAGCGTGTGAACTGGGAAACTGATTACTGTTTGAGATACAGTCTTTGGGGAGAGAAATTGCTTGCTGTGGCTTTTCTCTGAGTTTTTCCTCCATCTATCTCCTTATTCCTCAGAGTCAGAGAAGAAAAAGAAAAGGATTTTTGCCCTTTCCAGTTTCTAATTTCTGACAAAAAAAGTTTTCAAGATGATATAAAGATTTGGGGATGTGTTTCTTTTTTAAGGCTTTTTTTTTCCCTATTGTTTCATCTTAATTGTAAGGAAGACTTAATCAGGTGTATTGCCATGTGTTTCAAACATCTTTGGATTTTTTCAGCGTCTGAAAGTAACTAGATGATCATAAAGGTACACAAAAATGGAAATTCCAGTTTCTTTGTATAGGAAGTAGTTTCAGTTAACACATAGAAATTAAAAAGATGAAGCTGTATCATCTCTCACTGCCCAGTGGGATGAGCACTGCAAGCATTTGAGGACAGAATTTTTTTAGATCAATATTTTATTTTCAGCCTGAGAAATGGACAAGGCAGTGCACCAAATCAAAGCAGGAAAGGCAAGTGAGAAAAAGGCTGCCCTCCTTCCCAACAGGCAGCAGCATCTGTCTGTTCCTCCAAGGGATCACCCTTCCATTCTGTGCCTTTCCTCTCTAAGGACTCGCAGTGTGACAGGCATTGAACCTTCCCTTTTTTTATAGGCTGGCAACCCCTGTGTCTTCATCTGGAAACACCAACTGTTCTTTCTGTATTTTCAGGGAAACAGGTCAAAGAATTTTAAAAAAAACATCCAGAAATAATACAATATCCTCCTAGTTTTCAAAAAATGTTGAAGGTATTTTAAAAGATTTCTAAAAATTCCTCATCCCCATTAGATTCTTCTGGTGAAGAAAGCAATGCCTCAAATTTCTGAGTAAAATAAGGAGATAAATTTTTAATTGGGTTTATGTAATATATCATAGAGTACAAATCTAGAAATAAGCTGATGTATTCTGCTGGGTCTTTGACCTGTTTGGGGATTTCTGTGGTTTTCTTTAAAGCCCTATAGGATAAACCTGCTTGATGCCATTTCTTTGGCAGAACTTGTTGGAGGGCTCCAACAACTGTGGAGCATTGTTGGGAGGGAGGAACAGGGGAGGTGAACGAATTTCACCATCTTGCAAACAAGAAAAAGCCTGCCTTGAAGCTAGGAGCCTCACTGCTGCACTGATGCCTGGGTTTTATATTTGCAGGAATTGCAGTGGATAAGTATGGACTCATGTATTTTGTTGATGCCACTATGATTAGAAAAGTGGATCAGAATGGAATTATATCGACCCTGCTGGGCTCCAATGACCTCACTGCTGTTCGACCTCTCAGCTGTGATTCCAGCATGGATGTCACCCAGGTAGATTCTTACTGCATTTCTTTTCCTCTCTGCCTTAGAAGAGATGGGCATCTATTTTGGATGACTGCCTGGCCACTTAAGAATTACATTATGCAGCACAAAATGATAACATAGTTGATTTGTTACTGAAATGAGTGAACCATCCTTTTTACTGTGGCTAACACAGTTTATTTATGCAACTGTAGAGAAATAAGGTTGAGATAATGGGAGTTATTGTCTTAATTGCCTGTTTTTCTGTAATTATTGTAGAGCTTCCACAATGTAGCATTCATTCTTGCACAGAAACACAATTAGCCAAAGTTACAACTGCACGTAGCTTTAATATTTCCGAAAAACAAAATCATTGTTTGAAATAGTTGCCGTTCATGACTTGGTTTCATGATTTACACTGATAAACCCCTCACTGATTTGCTGTTGTTACACGTGGAATTTTAAACACTAGGAGTGTACTTTTCAGTTTCGAGTTTTACAGTAATAATTTGTGCAACTCATAGGTACGGCTGGAGTGGCCTACTGATCTCGCTGTCAATCCCATGGACAACTCCCTTTATGTCCTAGAGAACAATGTTATTTTACGGATCACAGAAAACCATCAAGTTAGCATTATTGCTGGACGCCCCATGCACTGCCAGGTTCCTGGTATAGACTACTCTCTTAGCAAACTGGCTATTCATTCTGCACTTGAATCAGCCAGTGCCATTGCCATCTCACACACAGGAGTTCTTTACATCAGTGAGACAGATGAAAAAAAAATTAATCGGCTACGCCAGGTAACTACCAATGGAGAAATATGCCTTCTTGCAGGGGCAGCTTCAGACTGTGATTGCAAAAATGATGTCAACTGTAATTGCTATGCTGGGGATGATGGGTATGCCACTGATGCCATCTTAAATTCACCATCTTCCTTAGCTGTGGCCCCAGATGGTACCATCTACATAGCTGATCTCGGAAATATCCGCATTAGGGCTGTCAGTAAAAACAGGCCCGTTCTTAATTCCTTTAACCAATATGAAGCTGCATCTCCAGGAGAACAGGAGCTGTATGTCTTCAATGCTGATGGGATTCACCAGTACACTCTGAGCCTCGTTACTGGGGAGTACTTGTACAATTTCACCTATAGCAGCGACAACGATGTCACGGAGGTGATGGACAACAATGGCAACTCCTTGAAGGTGCGCCGGGACGCCAGCGGGATGCCCCGCCACTTACTGATGCCGGACAATCAGATTGTCACGCTGGCTGTTGGCACTAATGGTGGACTCAAGCTGGTCTCAACACAGACCCTGGAGCTCGGATTAATGACATATAATGGAAACAGTGGTCTCTTAGCAACGAAGAGTGATGAAACAGGATGGACAACGTTTTATGAGTAAGAATGTTTTTGGATATATTAAGCATACATTTATTTTTCAAACGGTAGTGAGTAGGCCCTAGGCTGACCCTGCTGCAGTTTGTTTTAGGTTTTTCAATGATACTGATTAAGGCCGTTGCACCTCAGCCCAGGGTGGTGCTGGAAATGGTGAAGTGGCTTTGTGATGGCTTCCTTTGGGTGGGTGCTGATCCCCCTAAATCCCTGTGGGGGGTTTGAGTTTGGGGCAGCTCATCCCTGCCCAGCACAGAGGTCTGTGTGCCATGGCCAGAACCCTGGCTTAGTTAAGCTGCTGTTCATGGTCAGCACGGCTGCCCACAGCCAGAGCAGCCCTGCACTCCCCCTGCAGCTCCCACAGAGCTGCCTCTCTCTAGGAACCCTCATGCTGCAGCTGCTTTTGGAACTCAAATTATCTCTCTTTCTGTTCAGCCTCATATATTACTCATGGTTGTTAAAATGTTGATTAACTTCAATGATTGTTCATTCCTGAGACAAGTGAGGAAATTAGATCCCCAGCTATCTGTCAGACCCCTGGTGTAACTTCCATAATTTGTAGATAACCCAAAAGCACACTGGTGTTCATGAGCATATAGATTAAATAGACAGAACTTCCTCTTTAAATGAAATTCATCTGAAGAGATGAGGTTCAGAAGTATATTAAAAATCTAGAAAAACTAGTCCAATTTTTATTAATATTTATCCTGTTCTTAGTAGTCTCATTGCCATTTTTTGATCAAAACAATTTTAAAAAGAGAAGCTAAATGACATATTGAAAAATATATTTAAGTATGGCAAGTATGATGCCATATATTTTGTCTGAATTAGTTAATGATTAAAAAATATTATTCCCCAAATCAGTGAGTAGAAAACAGGAATAAGCTTTATATTTCATTTCAAACGGCAGACTCATTTTCAAGTCACAATGGTGCACACCTCTTAGTTTATTGATGCATTCAGCTTGGCCACCTGTTTCCTCTGTTCAGAGAAAACGTAAGAAATGCAGGAAGGGAGGGAACTTTGCTCCGTGCGCTGGGAATGCCTGCCCTGCACGGCAGGGATGCTGCAGCTTTCCCGTTGGAAGGGGAGCAGTGCCCTCTCGTGGGGCCCTGCGCGCTCACTCCTCTCCAGCCTGGGCCTTCACCTGCGGAGGGACTGATTTTTCCTTCATGTTTGGCAAAAATTATTTCTTTACTACAAATTCATTACACAAATAGTTCAGTTACACACCACGTGAAGGTGTTACCTGCTGATTAGGTTACCACAAATTCATTACACAAATAGTTCAGTTACGTGACCACGTGAAGGTGTTACCTGCTGATTATAAGCTCAAGTAAAAGCTCACTGGACCAGACAGAATAAAATTTCATATTATTGCTGATGAGATGTGGATGCCCTTCTAGGAAGGTTTTTTTGTTGTTTTTTTTTTTTCCTCAATAGGTAGCTCAAGTTGCAGTAATATAAATTAGCTATTTCTCAAAACGCCAGAAACTAAATAGCAAAGTAATTTAAAATTCTACATGAAAATCCATGGAATATTAGAAAATGTTGTCAGAAAGTTCCTGGTTACAAAACTGGTATAACTGGTGTCTGAGAGTCACACCAAGTGCTTTGTTAACATGCTTTATTAGAAAAATTCTATTATGATTCCTAAGGAAATACAGAAGGTAGGGGCTTTGATGTCTTACTGAGATCAGCTGAAAATATCATTTAATGTGTACATAGTGCTGCAGATTTTTTTCCAAGATCAAATAAGAAAAGATGCACAACCTTTGCCTCAGGTCAGTGGAAGTTAAATACCATCTTTAGATCTAAATATTACAGCCTGAGTTAGTGTCTTAGATAATTAGCAACTTTGATGAGGTAGCAGAAATAATTTATTTCTCCCAGATTTGTACATACATTCTCATAAGCATAGAGACCACAGATGAGAGAACCATAAAGACATTCTTTAAATTGAATATATTATTTAAATTGAATATAGAAACCTAAAGAATCACAGTCCACAGTCACTCAGTACTGGTTTCTGGTTTCTGTTTTTTCTCTGAACCAGCTCCTAAGAGAAAATTCTGTATTCATCATTCTGCAATTTTTTTGGTAGCTATAACTTAATATAAATTGAAGATGAAAGAAGTATTCAGCCAATGAGAGTTTATAAGGACAATAAAATAGTTTTCTCTGCAGTTACATTCATGCATCCATACGGACACAATCAGCAGTCAAAATTGTTAATATGGCAGCAGAACTGGAAGAGAACAGAGGTCTTTTAAGTGGTAAAGTACTACATGAGTTAAAAGTTCTTATGAAAAATTTATATCAGTGCATTTATATCAACCAGGCGCTGAAGTGCCATGTTATCTTATTGGGTATATTCCTCTCAATTATCTGAAACTTTACCCTGAAAATGCTCTCAGAATTAAATTTGTACAGTTAATCGAGGTGTGCATCTGCATAAGCAGAGAGTTGCAGACTGAGGCTGGTTTGTGTGTGTGCACACCCCATATGTGAGATCTATAGATAGCATCTGTGCACGTGCCTGCAGCTCATTTGCAGTAGGAACAGCCAAGGCTCTTCAATAATAGAACAGCTACCAGCAGGCTCACATGGGGTAATTTAAGCTTGGCTTGGGCATGAAGCACAGATCTTTGAAGCAGCTCCCAGTGGTATTCCTCTCGGTCTAGGGAGCATCCTAAGAGAATACTGCAGTTTTTTTTCTGAAATCAGTTTTAAAAGGGAGAGAAAACAGGGGTGTATGTAAATGTGTGTGGATCTGTGCCTTGCCCAGCTCTGAGTTAAGTCAGAAGCTGCTGTTCCTCCTCTGCAGTGCAGGTTATGGCCCTGCCCTTCCTGCTCCACCCACGAGCTGTCAGGAGCACAGCTCAAACCTGAGGCTGGGATGCTGGTCCTAAAAACTGGGACAGCCCTCAGGGCACTGCCACAAGCCCACTGAAGGGATGGGTGCACAGATGCTTGTGGCTACCTGAGAAGGTGCCAGGGCTCAGCTGTGTCCCATGGGCAGCTCAGAGCCATCAGGCTGGCAGGGACAGCCACCAGCTTTGTGCCTCTGTCACCCTGAGCTGTCCTGGGAAAGCTGGGCCTGCTGGCAGGGGGGTCTTGGTCACAGTTAGCAAAGAGGTGGTGAGGTAGCAGTGGGGAGATGCTGTTTGCTGGTTTTTAAGATGCTGGGATAAAGAAAGGTTGTTCTCCCTTGTAATTTTATTAGTAGAAAATTTGGGATGAAGCCTTGTTCTAACTAAAGTCAGTAACAAAACTCAGGAATTTTGGAGTGCCTGAAAATGTAAAGGTTGCCTTATCAGACCTGATTCATCCAGGCTGATGCTGTGTCACAGACTGCAATAGGTAGAGACTGCTTCTTCACAAGACACCAGGTCAATTATTATATTTTTCATTGTAAATTTTGGTTTTTTACTTCATTAGACCCAGTTTCATGACATGCAGAAGAGAAGTACATAATCATTTCATTAATATATAATTTATTCTTATTATTCAGATAAATGTCTGGGTGTTGTATGCTACTGAGTACTTGTTCTCATATAATACATAAATTTAAAAAAAACTTTAGGAATATGTCACTTAAATTTTGTGGTAGATAAAAGGTTTCTGTTACATTCATTTTAATTTTTTTTTACCTTTAAAGTATTTTTTAAATGAGAATTTATTTTGATACAATGGACAAAGTAGAAATGCCTCCTTTATATATTGGTATCAGAATGTGTATATATCATTTAAGAAGTGAATTTTTCATATATCTAACTCATAATCTAAGTGGTCTGCAGATCTTCAATGACAGTACTTTTGTATGTATTTTGTTAAGTGTATCCATCACTTGCTTATAAACCCTTTTAAACTTTACTGTTGCTGCTTTCAAAGCTGTGCCCAGCACTGAGGAACACACCCCATGGCAGGGGTAAAACAATCATTTCTTGAAATAGCACTGGAATATTTCCATTTTTCTGCTTCAATCTCTGTAAATCCACATTCATATTTACTTTTTAGACTGCCCTTACACTTTGAATAGAGATTTCCAGTGAGTAGCCCACAGCAATCCCCAGGAATTTTTCCTAGGTTAATTAAAAACCCAGCAATGTGAATGAAAACTTTAAATTAATGTCTCATTTGCATTGCCTAAAATATATTTGCTGATGGGGAATTTCACAACCATTTTTCTGGAAGTTCACCGAGTGCTGGAGAGTCACACTGGAGACACTCATAATGTCTCATTTGCATTGCCTAAAATATATTTGCTGATGGGGAATTTCACCAACCATTTTTCTGGAAGTGCTGCAGAGTCACACTGGAGACACTCGTAGTTTTTTCTAGTTTGTCCTAAATAACACTGTCTGTGCTGAAAGAGTTGGCATCCAAGTGTTCTCTTCCTCTGCTCATCATGAAACACACCACATACAGACTCTTAAGGGGCCTTATTAACCTTTAAGATTTTTAGAATTGTCCATTTTTTGTACTTTTTATTTTCCCCTGCAGGACGGATGCTTGGCTGGATCAAGTTCTTACTTTAGCTACTCTTTTGGAGTGCTTTTTAATATTTTTTTTTTGTGAAGATCTCCCTATAAAGCCTTAACCCACTTTCATAGATTATCTCAACATATTATCTTTTTTTCAGTATCTTGCTGATATGATAATATATCTCTATATAAATATATATCTGTCTGTGGTGAGAAACTTGTGACTATATTGAGAAAAATCATGCTGCTTAATCTTTCTTTGATCCTGAACTACTTAAATGAACACAATGTATTATTGGTCCCTTTTAGGTCTCATGATGCTTTGTTTTATTGATTTCCTTCTTTGCCTAATACTTCCATTGGTTCTGGTAAGGCTTGTTGCTCCACAGGTGATTTTTTCCTTCCTCTCCAATGTTCAGTTGAATGGGTGCAACCATTTACAATGGATTTGAAAGTCATTTATTTTGTTCATTTTAACTGAGGAGCCAATCCGTGTCTGAATTTTTTAGATATGCTGTACAGTTCAGGTGGCCTAGTCTGAAGTTTCTGAGTGTTTTAATTGTAAAACCATGTTGAAAGCTCTGATTTTGTTTTCATCTTCACAGCTAACCACAGTCTGCAATGAACTGAGCTCGCTCCATGGTACTAAATGTGCTCCTCTTCTCTTCTGTTACTCTCAGGCAGTGCAATGGATTTACCAGTTCTCTTCCAGGCTTCCTGCTCCCTGCATCTCTGCATCCCAAGGATGACCAGTTGGTTTCAATCTCTACCTAAATTTTTCCCTTTATCTACACAGGACGTTTTTTCTTGCCTTTCTGCTCTCTAGAGGCACCTGTGCTTTGGTAGCGGCTGGGTGAGAGACTTGCACGAGTAGAGAATTGCAGCAAGCAGTGTCAGACTGGAGTTGGAATGCTGATTTTGTTTCAGGTCCCCATTTCTTGCCCCTAAGATCCAAAGGATTGCTTCTTTAGCAAAAGTATGCACACAACTAGAGCATACTGCAGGAACGGGGGAAAGGGTATGATTTGATTTCCAGCAGCATTCCTTCTTTTCCCCCTCCTCAGGCTTTATACCTCTAAAGAAATGTAACTGTAAAATCATGGAAAGCCTTTTTTGTCTTTTTTTTGTCTTTTTTTTCTTCTTTTTTTTTTTTTAATCTTTATGCCTCTGGAGCATTTAACTAATTTTCTAAGGTTTATTCTGAGTGCTGACTGCTGCCCTTTGTGTAACTCCAACCTCTGTCCTGTGCTTTTCATCTTTCTGATCCAAAATACTGACCCCAAAGTGCAGCTCAATACCACAGATAAGATCTAAATGAAATTATTATGTTATCAAGCTGATGTCTATTTTAATACTTTATGTCAAGTTTATTCCTTGATATGTCACTCAAGACCATACTTAGTTTCCACTAGGTATTCAAAAGCAAATGTGCAGTTTTTGCAATTGTTTATTGCAGTGTCCATCAGAAGTTCACTTCCTTAGAGTGAAATACAGCTATTAAAATGCCAGACTAATTTACTAGTTATAATTGTTTGAGCCAGATATCACTCCATATATTAATAATAATTTAATTAATTTAATAATCCAAAATATGCTAGCCTGGATTTTCAGCCATGTAGTTGAGATCAGTATCTAAAAAATATTATTTCATCATTATAGACTCTTTCAAGAACAGAGAAATAGATATGGCCAGGATGTTCTTGAAAATCTGTTTCAGTCTGGGTTTTTTGCACAAATGTGGCGCATTATTAATACATTGGGTATTGAAATGAACATATATCCTCATGCTTTTTTGCTCTCACTAACTTTTCTATTAGCTATGATCATGAAGGGCGTCTGACCAATGTAACACGTCCCACTGGAGTGGTAACTAGCCTTCATCGAGAAATGGAAAAGTCCATTACCATCGACATTGAGAATTCTAATCGGGATGACGATGTCACGGTCATCACAAATCTCTCCTCTGTGGAGGCTTCCTATACAGTTGTTCAAGGTACCAAAGCACACTTCTCAGCACACTCCTAACCACACACACAGCCTGAGAAAGCAATTCACTAATGATTCGTGTCATTAGCACACTTATGAGCAGGGGGAAACCGTGTAAGATTTGCAAGAAAAACTCCCATAAAGCTTATTCCTAAAAAGACAGGTCTTCAGGACAGGTAAGAGCCATTTCCAAGTCCTGCTTTGTGTCAAGTACATATGGTCACTGTCTGCTGGGGAAAGTTAGTCCTGCCACTGCCTCCTGGGGCAGGGTCACTTCCCCCACTTGCATATTTCTCTGTACTTCCCTGCAAAATTGGTTCTGACTTCTGTGCCACAGAGATGCAACCTGACTGCTGGATATGGCTGCTGGGGGAGATCCTTCTGGAGAGGCTCAGGCAGCCTTCTAGTGGAAGAAATCTTCTAAATTTATACTCTGCCATTAATTACAGTGTAGAACAGTCAGGGCAGTGGATGGTGTGGTGCCAGAGATGGCCCTCCCAAGAGCAGTGCTACAGCCCGAGGGTGGCAGGAGGCAGCAGCAGCACAGGCTCACAGTTTGTGCAGAGCATTCCAGCACCGCCCAGGCATTGCATCTGATGGAGTGGAGTCAGTTATCAAATATAGACTGGAAGGGATTTGGTGAGTGATGGGGCTTTTTAATTAAGATATAATGTCACTGGAATGGGAATATCACCATCAAACAATAGTCTTCTCCTGACATAAATGTCAACATTTGTAGACTTATACCGTGACAGGTCTGGTTACAAAGACTTAATTTCTCTTATACCAGATGAATAATTACGTAGATGCTGTCCTTCTGTCAGGCAAATATTGATGTGTTGCTGACAGCTGCACACTCTGGCACTCCATCCTGGCTGAGAGGGGACTTGGCTGTGTCCAACAGCTGGAGAACTGCATAGCCAGAGAAGCACGGGCTTGTTTCTGTAACTTCTCCAACAGAGGCCGGGTGTGCACATCAGGCCAGTGTGGTTCTAGTGGGGAGGCAGGGAGGCAGGAGAGGGAGCCACTGTGCCTGCCAGCTTGCACTGCTGGAGCCTCAACCTTGAGGATTTAAAGCCATGCTGTAATTCTGTACAGGGCCTTTGCTTGGAGACAGTTTTTAAACAGAGGGAAACAAAAAAGAAGAGGCACTTACTTCTTCCTACTTACAAAGAGTCCAGCAATCATCTTCTTTTTCTTTTTGTCCTGAAGTTTAATGCTTTGTTATTTATCCAGCAGTTCAGTTTTCAGGAGTTTTTGTTCATATCAGACATAAATTACGTGGTTCAACACATATCACTGTGCATTTTGATTCACAATTAAGACTGAAGGGAAAACATAATGAAATAAACACAGTATCTCTCTGCAGGCTCACTGTTACACTACTGTTCTTTACATGACTCAGTAACATCTGTAATTTCCACCATAGTACCACGTAAATGGTAATTGCAGGCTGACTTCATTTAACATCAACAGGAGTGCAATAAAAAACCAATCAAATTAAGCTATATGTTTTCTTTATGACTGGAGTAGCTAAATTATTTTCTTTTCATTATTGCTGTAGATCAAGTGAGGAACAGCTACCAGCTCTGTAATAATGGTACTTTGAGAGTGATGTATGCCAATGGCATGAGCATTAGCTTTCACAGCGAGCCTCATGTCCTGGCTGGGACTGTGACTCCCACCATAGGACGATGTAATATTTCTCTACCCATGGAAAATGGTTTAAACTCAATTGAATGGCGCCTGAGGAAGGAGCAGATTAAAGGCAAAGTGACGGTGTTTGGAAGAAAGCTCAGGGTAAGTAGAACCTGTTGTCACAATCACCTTTTCCTCTTTGGGCAGAAAATTAATGTTTTTATTTTGAAGGATGTTACTTTTGCTTGTTAACAATGTACAGCTCTGGGATTGTCTTTGGTGTGACACTGTTTGAGAGCTCAGTTGGCTGCATGGGATCATCTGCTGCAATCAGCTATAGAGCTTCCTTACTAAAAGTGTTCCAAAAGGGATTGGTAAAAATACCTAGAATATTGCAGAATCACAGAATCATCAATGTTAGAATAGACCTTCAACATCATTTAGTACAATCATTGCCCCAGCCCCACTGTAATTGCCCCCAAACCATATCCCCAAATGTCATATCCCAATGCCTCTGGAACACATCCTAAGATGATGACTCCACCACCTTCCTAGGCAACATCCTCTAATGCATGAACACTCTTTCAGTGAAGAAAGTTTTTCCAATATCTAATCTAAACCTCCCTGGTGCAACTTCAGGCCATTTCCTCTTGTCCTTTCATTTGAGATATGGCAGAAGAGACTGACCCCCATCTTGCTAACTCCTTTCAGGAACTTGTAGAGAGCAATTAGGTACCCCCAAACCAACTTTTCTGCAGATTAAACACCCCCAGCTCCCTCAGCCACTCCTCAAAAGATGTATTCTAGAGCCTCCTCCAGCTTCATTGCCCTGTTGCTGCAAAACACTCTGCCTCTCAAGGGGGTGGGAATCTGAGCGCTCACCACTTGTAAAACTGCCAGGACAGACTTCCCCCAGCTGGTGCTGGGGAGCAAACACAACTACAGCATTCTGCTGCTGTAAAATCCCCCTACAGACTCTCTGAGACAGGCATGTTGTGTTTATTCCCTTTCCCAAATGGCAGATTGGAAAATAATTGCCATAATTACAAAATCGTAAGCGCAGGATAAGGAGGACAGTCGGGTCATATAATCCGTCCCCTGCCAAATTAAAGATCTGCTGCAGCTGGATTAATCCCATTCTGTGCTTTGCTGGCCTGATTTTCACTGATTTTTTTTTTTTACTGGATTACTTCAGTATGTGCAGTTTTGGAAGGGATTTGAGATACTGGGCAGAAAACAAACGTAGTGCTGATCAAGTCCTCACTCTTTAAGTAGTTCTTTCAACAACACTGAACACAAAATATAGTTCAGTGTGTTCAAGATCACATAACAAATGCAAGATATGCAAGCAATTATGTAGTGATTTACAAAAAAAAAAAGGCTTGGATATTATTTTTTTTTATTTTCCTATTGCTAGCATCTAATTCCTAGTGTTGAGTTGACAAATCTTTGCTCATTCTCACAAATGCTCAGAATGCACTTATTGGGGAGAGGGGAAAGGTTGGGAAAAAAAATTGAATGAGATTAGCAGCTAATCCTTAATGACTAAATTTCATGTCTCTGTAATTGATTTTTGATGTGTTGACCTGCAGCAGTTGATTGGAAGTGGAAAACAGATCAGCTCTGCATTTTGACTAGGTGTTCAAAATAAAAATAAATAGGATGCTGAAATGAAATTGCAGTAATCCTAATTCTCAATACTAAAATTTAATAGAGGTACTTGTGGTAATTAGCTGAAGTTAAGCACATCGTAGTGCTGAAACCTTGCCTGAGATAGATTTTCTGAGATAGGTTTTCTTGCATCATGTTTATGCAAATCAAAACAATGCTTTATCTAGCAACACCTCAACATTTAATTGTCTGGTGTTAGTTCCTGTAACAATAATCACATATCCATTTAGCTCTTTTAAATGAAAATCACTATGAGATTATCACAGGTTGAGTGGACTGAAAATGAAATTTGAAAACAAGGGAGAAAGCATAGAATTTATTTGCATGTCATTTATTCTAATTTATCTTTATAAATTGTTTAGTGAACGAAGCAGAGCAAGTGTGTTGGAATGTTGTGGGGAGCAGGTGGCAGGCAGGGGCACCTGTGGCACTGCTGGTGACACAGAGCAGGGCACTGCTGCAGAGCTGACAGAGCACCAGGGCCACCTCCTGGAGCCCCAGTGCACAATCAGTGTGACTGGAGGGGTGGGAATTCTTTGTGATTCCCCTCTTGGCTGAGTACTTCACCTCACAGTACTCAGGGGAATATTTGCCGGAGCCCACACCCCTGTGCTTCTTAAAGGGGGCTTATAAAAAGATGGGGACATACTTTGTTTTAGGGTCTGTTGTGATAGGACAAGGTGTGGCAGCTTTATCTAAAAGAGGGTAGATGCAAAGTAGTGATACAGAAGTTTTTTATGGTGATGTGGAGAGGCACTGGCACAGGTTGCCAGAGCAGTGGTAGGTGCCCCATTCCTGGAAGCATTGCAGGGGAGGTTGGCACGGCTCTGCTCAGCCTGGTCCAGTTGCAGATGTCCCTGCTCAGTGCAGAGGGGTCATACTGGGTGATTCACAGGTGAATCCCAACCCAAAGTGTTGGCTGGTTGTATGAGCCCTCACGCAGTGGTGCTGCCTGAGCCCAGGCTCTGCCCACCCTGCTTTAGGCACATCCCAGCCACACCTGCTGGAACCTGCACACCTGCCTGGGCACATTTCATCAGCCTGAGGAAGGAACTGCACCTTTGTCTTATCCCACTCACTGCCTGCTGCTGTTTGGTGCACCACACGTTCAGTGCCTGTAGTTTCAGATAAATTGCTGCTGAGATTCCTGTCTGAACTTTTGGTTATGGAGCAGCATCATGTGAGTGATTTCTGTGGCCAGACCTTTCCAAGGCACAAAGGGCTCATCCCTACAGCCACTTGAGCAGCAGCCAAGGGAAAACCAGATAGTGAACAAAAGGGAAAGGGCCTGTCAAGTAATCTGCATTGTGATACTTGGGACTGCTCTCAGTGTTCCCAGGAAGGGTGGGAATTAGTCAGCCTGTTTGGGTTCCTATGTAATTAATATGATACTGCAATTACAGTCTCTGGTTGTACTCATTTTACAAATGCAAATGAAGGTACTGAATTATCCAAGCAGGTGATGTTCGTGTGTGCATCTCCAAGTGATATTTGCATGTGTGCATGGCTTTTGTGTGTGTAATCATTTTTAAAACCCTATTAATTTTTTTTTCAATGGCAAAACCAAGTAACTGTTATCATGTTTTTGAGAAAAGAGAAGATACCTGGAGTTAGACTTTCCTTTATGCAGATTACTATTGCAATTACTGTAATGGAGGGAACAAAACCCAAAATCCTGACTGATTTATGAAGCTTCAGAAGTTAGAAAAAAACAAAACAAACAAAACCCCTAAAGCTAAAATTCAGTTCATAACCTTTCTGAAAGGCATTTCTTTTTCTTTTTACAAAATCTGCTCAAGCCTAAGAAATTGGGCTATTTCAGTCATACACTAACTCTTTAATTCTATAGCTAAATGTTTTTGAGAAGTCAAAGCTCTCTTCTGCTCATAAAAAGGGGGTTTTTTGTGTGCCTGCCATTAGGGTTGATCCTACAAAACAAGAGTAACCAGTTGAGAAACTACTGATATTAAATTTGGCTTCCCTGGCTTTATTTTCATTGCAATGGGAGAGCAGAATATGACTTGTTTTGTCCCAAGGTGTTTTAAGAAAAATACTCTGTTTTTCTGTGAATCACACGGCAAGTTGTTGCTGGGATAACCTTTGGGAAAACCTACAGAAAAGAGCTTTTTTTCCCTAGTAATTGCCCACTGAGGAAATGCAAACTGTTAAAGAGATTAATTTCATTAATGGAAAAAATTAGGATAATGAGCAATAATTTGAAATAATTATTTCTTTACAAACACGAAACTGTATTAATTTTAAATGTGTCTGTATAACTGAATTTCTACTGAGTTGGTTGGGGTGGGAATTGGGTTTACCCCTGCCAGTAAATATATCTCAGAATAATTTTTATATCCTCAAGAAAGGCTCAGGGTTAATTTACATATTGTTTGATGTACAGTTTAATGTTGTATAAAAGGAAACGTTGCACTATCAAAGCCACTGTAAAATATAAGCTAAAGAACAAATTCCCAGAAATTGATGACTACTTTTAAAGTAGTCATTGATCTGAAATTATATCTAATTTAAAAACTTCTGCTTTATTAATGACACATCTACAATTAAATTACTTAAGAAGCCTTATCAAATTACAGCATTAGCCTGAATTCTATGGCTTAACCCCCAGTGAATATATTTATGTATCTCTGATTATAACACTCTCCCTAGAAGCCTCCCCATTTGGCATTCTTATTCTCCTTTACCTCTGTTTTGCTCTTTTATTTTAAATAAATAAATAGATAGATAGATAAATAAATAAATCTGCCACTGAAGCACTTCATGCTGTACTTTGAATGAAAATTATAACAAAAAAAGGTGGGGGGTGAAAGAAAAATATTTAATCTAATTGTTTAGCACCTATTCAACACTAGAAGTCCATCATTTGCAGCCTGTATGATCAGGATTTTTAAGCCCATCCCAAGTGAAGGATCTATTGAATATTTGGAAAGTGAAAGAAGAAAACAGTAAATGAATGAATTCTAAGCAGGGTGTTGCAATTACAGAAGCCAAGTGGCTAAACCTCAATAAAGAGACAAAAATTTAATCTGTTGTTCTTGGAGTGATTGTAGGGGAAAAGGCAAAAAAAAAAATTGATGGTGGAAGTACAAAAATGAAATAAAGTAGCGGAAAATAGAAAAATAGAATAAGTAGAAAAATATTCCATGCAAAATAATTTGTTTCTCTGTACTTTAAGACCTCAGTGTGCAGAATGTCTCTCTGTTCTGACCATAATGGAAGCTTTTTACTGTAGGGTATCACCACTCATGTTGCAGTGAGATGGGAAATACCCCAAAATTATTTGAATATTCTCCCAAGCAGAAAGCAAAAGCCAGTTAACAGGACCCCTACGCTTTTCACAGAGGATTTCCCTGTTGGGCATCCTCTTTCCCCGCTGTAAGCCTGGAATTCTGGCGTGCCCAGTGCGCTGAGCGCAGCCTCCTTCCCTCGCGCAGGTGCACGGCAGGAACTTGCTGTCCATCGACTACAACCGCAACATCCGCACTGAGAAGATCTACGACGACCACCGCAAGTTCACGCTGCGCATCATCTACGACCAGCTGGGCCGGCCCTTCCTCTGGCTGCCCAGCAGCGGCCTGGCCGCTGTCAACGTCTCCTATTTCCTCAACGGGCGCCTGGCAGGGCTGCAGCGCGGGGCCATGAGCGAGAGGACGGACATCGACAAGCAGGGCAGGATCGTGTCGCGCATGTTCGCCGACGGCAAAGTGTGGAGCTACACCTACCTGGAAAACGTAGGTGGTGTCGTGTTGTCATCCCTGGCAAGGATACAAAGTTCTCCTAGGCTTCATGGCACATGAATCACGCACACCCGCTAGCTAAGATTTGGTGTATCCCAAGTGTTAGCCATCCCTGGTCTCAAAATTCCTTATTTTTCAATTAGTCAGCTGAATATGACTAATTCTTAATGGGAAATATTTTGTTCATGGTTTCTGTCTTTTGATATTTTCCTGCCATAGAATGGCAGTAAATTAGCACAATGTATTGTGCTTAATTAAGCCCAAAAATGCATAACTAAACCTGACAAAAGGTTTGTGTAGAAACAGGTAATTTGTCTCTAATTGTTACTTATTAAATGAAAGTATGGTAGTGCATTTTTACTTAGCCTAATTAGCACACTTCAGTCATAAAAGTGTCTTAAATACTGCAAAACTGCATATTGTTTTCCCTTTTCCCTTCTTGTTGTTCTAAGTAAAGCAGAGCTGATGTTCTCTGCTTAGTTTCTCACATATTTCACAGTAACAGTTGTGAATTACAACTGCTGGCAGAAAGATAAATCAAGTCATTTATCTAACTCCTCTGCATCCCTCAGGTAAAAAAAAAAATAAAAAGAAAAAAGAAAAATAAAAAAAAGTCCTCCTACAGGGAGGACAGCTCAGAGGTTGCTAACCTACACTTTCTCTGGAGTGTCAGTGTATTGATTTCCAAGGAGCAGATCCTCTCATCTGGCAACCTGACAATATTCCTGAGCAACTCTGTGCCCCTGACTAATGTATCTGATTCTCTTTGTACTCATTTAACATTAGTGCCTCTCCAGTAAACTTTTCTTTGGTTCCCTCTCTCGGGCCACATGCTGATAGCTGGTAACCGTTTGTTGTTGTTTCCCCTGCAGTCGATGGTGCTGCTGCTGCAGAGCCAGCGCCAGTACATCTTCGAGTACGACTCCTCGGACCGCCTGCACGCCGTCACCATGCCCAGCGTGGCTCGGCACAGCATGTCCACTCACACCTCTGTGGGCTACATCAGGAACATCTACAACCCCCCTGAAAGCAACGCCTCCGTCATTTTTGATTACAGCGATGACGGGAGGATTCTGAAAACATCGTTTTTAGGGACCGGCCGACAAGTCTTCTACAAGTATGGAAAGCTATCCAAGCTGTCTGAAATTGTTTATGACAGCACGGCAGTTACTTTTGGATATGACGAAACTACAGGTGTCCTAAAAATGGTGAATTTGCAAAGTGGAGGGTTTTCTTGTACGATTCGCTATCGGAAAATTGGTCCTCTTGTTGACAAACAAATCTACAGGTTTTCTGAAGAGGGAATGGTCAATGCAAGGTTTGATTATACATATCATGACAACAGCTTCCGAATCGCGAGCATCAAACCCATCATAAGTGAGACGCCTCTTCCAGTTGACCTTTACCGTTACGATGAGATTTCTGGCAAAGTAGAGCATTTTGGCAAATTTGGAGTTATTTATTATGATATTAACCAAATTATCACCACAGCAGTTATGACGCTGAGCAAGCACTTTGACACCCACGGGCGCATTAAGGAAGTGCAGTACGAAATGTTCCGGTCCCTGATGTACTGGATGACCGTGCAGTACGACAGCATGGGGAGGGTGACCAAAAGAGAGCTCAAACTTGGTCCCTACGCCAACACTACCAAGTACACCTATGATTACGATGGAGATGGGCAACTGCAGAGCGTGGCAGTCAATGACAGGCCCACCTGGCGCTACAGCTACGACCTGAACGGGAACCTCCACCTCCTGAATCCTGGAAACAGCGTCCGACTGATGCCGCTGCGCTACGACCTCAGGGACAGGATCACGCGCCTGGGTGACATCCCCTACAAGATCGATGACGACGGGTTCCTGTGGCAGCGGGGTGCAGATGTGTTTGAGTACAACTCCAAAGGGCTCCTGACCAGAGCTTACAACAAAGCAAATGGGTGGAGTGTTCAGTACCGCTACGACGGACTGGGCCGAAGGGCTTCCTGCAAGACCAACCTGGGGCATCATCTACAGTACTTTTATGCTGATCTTCACAATCCAACAAGGGTAACTCATGTCTACAATCATTCCAACTCCGAAATTACCTCTTTGTACTATGATCTGCAAGGCCACCTCTTTGCAATGGAGAGCAGCAGTGGGGAAGAGTATTATGTGGCCTCTGATAACACAGGCACTCCACTAGCTGTGTTCAGCATCAATGGCCTCATGATCAAGCAGCTCCAGTACACGGCCTATGGGGAGATCTATTATGACTCTAACCCAGATTTCCAGCTGGTCATTGGGTTCCATGGAGGGCTGTATGATCCTTTAACCAAACTCGTGCATTTTACCCAAAGGGACTACGATGTCCTGGCTGGGCGCTGGACATCTCCTGATTACACCATGTGGAAAAATATTGGCAAAGAACCCGCTCCTTTCAATCTGTACATGTTCAAGAGTAACAACCCTCTCAGCAATGAACTGGATCTAAAGAATTATGTAACAGGTGAGACTTCTTCACATTCATAAAATTGGAAGCTGATTTGGGAAAGTAACCCAACTTCTCCTTATGAGCCCTTTGCTCAATCCTCACATCAAGTTTGGGCTGTTTTGCTCTTTTGGCTATGAAAAGAAGTGGCCATTTCTGATTCCTTGGTGCTGCTCTTCCCTGAATGAAGGGCTCTAAGTGAGAAGCCATGATGAATTAGGGAGGGAAAAAAATAAATATAAGTTTGTGTGAATATAAAATTTCAGCACATCCATAGTGCTCTTCCTATTGAACTAGTGCTGTATAAAGTGTTCATTCTAATTCTGTACCAAGAAAAGTGAAGTTATGTATAGGAATCACTGGCAGATTGGTTCAGAATCACAAACCAGAACTGCTCAGATCTGTTTCTTTCAGGGCTACTTTCAAAATTAACTACTGTCTGAGCTCATGGGCGTATTATGAACTAGCACCAAGAATGGATTTAATTAGACCTCTTTCCCATTTAACTTTTAATATGCAAACAGACTTTAGTCTTTAAAATTAAATCCTTGATGTTTTTAAGATTATTTCATCCTGAAAGACTAATAAATGTTATGGATTTTGTAGAGCTGAGAAACAAAAGCAGTTTTGATCACATATGTTAGAATTGGGCAAAACTTGTAACCCTTTCTTAATTAGGAATAATTTTTCACTTAGTAACATCACACAGTACTTGAACTAGCTGCTGGCAGTTTCTAAAAGGAAAGGTAATTAATATGTCTTCAGGAAAAGCTTTTTTTTTTAATTGAATATGCAGTATACAATAATTAGAGTAGTGATACCATTTTTAAAAAGGAACGCTCTTAATTTTAACAGTAATTTGAATTTCAAGGAAAGTGTGCATTTCCTTCACAGAAAATCATAACACGTTTCATTAGTACATTGCAACCCGATAGTAGGTGTAACACACCACAGGTTCTAGTGGAGCAACTTTGCAATTAGGAGATAATGTGATTTGTATCTGATAGTGTGAAAATACTGATGACTAAAATTACCTCTTGTCCTAAATTCAACAAAAGTCCTATTTTCATCCACTATCCTTTGATTTTGATTTTCAACATCATCATAATATGTTTTGCTATGTTCTGAAATTGTATTTATTTAATTTATCCATCCACTGGATGAAATTGAATAAGATAAATTGCATATAGGGATAACACACACCTTGTAGTCTGTGAAAATACTTCATCAGTGATGCAAATATTTGTTGCTGTAGGACTGAACAGATTATCTTAGACAAGAAGTGATTATGGTGGCACCTTTGTTGTCATAGTTTAAAAAAAAAAAGAGAACAAAACAAAACACCAAAAAGTCTCCCCCATAGTCTGTTCTTACTGTTAACCCCTGACATTGCTTTATTCACCGGTTTTGCTGAGAACAAATTTCAGTGGCAAGTTCAGTGTTGCAAAGCACATTAGGTCAGCAAAATAGTAACTGTTTTGTATGTAGGTCCTCCTCTGGTTTCTGTGGAATTGGAGCAGCTGAAGTGAATTGTTCAGGAGATACCATTTTACCATAAAATAAAATTGAAGCCTTACAAGGAGCAGTAACCCTGAGTGGCCCAAAGGTTCAGGAAAAAACAGTAAGCACCGTGTGATGGGAGATGGATACAGATACCTCATAGAGGCAGAGTATTTTACTACTTATTTGAGAGTCAGAAATACTAAGAAAAAAAAAGATTTTTGGGGAAACCAGGCTTTGCAATAGCTCAGCTCACAGAAGTGGCAATAGCAGCATCAGGAGCCACTGTAGGCCAGTGAGGAGAGATCTCCTGGGAAAGACAGGAAAGATTTTTAAGCAAAAATTATCATGAATTCTGGAAACAGGAAATGTAAAATGAGGTCATGGATTCTTTTTTGTTAAAAGAGTTATCATTTGGATAACTAAAATACATAATTAGTTCCTAATACCTGCAGAGTGAGAATTACTGTTATTAACTTACTTTCTTAGCTTTTACAGCTAGATCTGAGGATAGAGTTTTCGTGGTTGAACCCACATCTGGAACTTGCTGAGGCTTACCTCAGAGCTGAGCTGTAACACTCCCACAGAGCTCCTGCTTTCCCTGGAGGGATGGGGAGGATATTTTTATTGTCTAAATTTAGGTATCTGATTTACAAATCCAGCTTCTCACTGCTTTTAATGGAGCCTCCTGAGACCTGATGACAGCTGATGGAAGTAGGACGCAGAAGAGAAGCCATGTCTTTCCCCAAAGGACTTTGCAGATGTTTTTAGAGTGTTCACCTAATAATATATCATTATACAATACAGTTTATAGGTTACATATAGTAGCCATATCAGAAGGTGTCAGAGATGGAACAAGTACTGTATACTATAAAATATTTGGATAATTCATGTGCTCTAATGGAAAATAATGAAAGAGCTGGTATATCCCTGATGATTTAATTGTGACTTCAGTTGGTACTTGAAATTAAGGAAGTCAAAGATGGTTTTCCTATTTTTTTAATTTCCTTTATTTGTTAAACACATGTGTTTCTCACTTAGCTGTTTTCTTTCAATTTTTAGATGTCAAGAGCTGGTTGGTGATGTTTGGATTTCAGCTTAGCAACATCATTCCTGGTTTCCCTAGAGCAAAAATGTACTTTGTGTCACCACCATATGAGCTGTCTGAGAGTCAAGCGTGTGAAAATGGACAGGTAGGCAGAAAGATTAAATTACTTTTTTTTGATAAATTTGCCCCACTCTATGGATGGAATCACTGGCTCTTCTGTAGTTACAGCAGAAGGCCAAGCACTTAATTCAGTGTAAAGTGAAGTGAGTATAGCTACATTTTATACTAATGAACATATGCCTTTCTTGCCAGCCTCTGTTGTTATCATAATTACAGTGTCATTAGTTTGTCTTTTATTGAGTTATTCCTTGATTAACAAGTTGTAACTCGATTAACTTGATTAGCAATGACAAAGGGAGACTTTGTCAGGGTAATTTATCATCTGTTGTACCTTTGGTAAAACCATCCTAATAATGTGTTCCAATAAACTTAGGTTGGTACTTGTTTTACTGGTAAAAAAGGGTTCTACTTCTCACCCTGCAAGAGGTTTTCTTACCATTTTTTTTCATTTTTCTAGTTAGAGGTTTTTATGTGCTACTCCATTTAACTTCAGTTACAGCATTTGTACTTGTCAGGTTAAGGGTGGACAGCAGTATGTGGGTTTAACTTTATAATAAATTCCAGCCCATTTAATAAAATTCAGAAGAGTACCAGGCCAATTCCTAAGCTACTCTTTGCTAAGTTTATTTCATCTTTGTGGTAATACAACAAAAATAATCATATAAACCTAAACATACCACTTTCCCAGGTTTCCAAGTCATTTGAGAGTCTCAACCCCCTCTTCAGGAATTGCTTTGGTGCTTTTGGGCCCAAATTTCATCTGTTTACAAAAAAGCTTATATTCATAAGCCTTTTAGTTATATTTACTTGTTGAATCTCTGGGGAAAAGTGTCCACAAGTTAAATGCTACCTTTTAATACATTGATTCTGTTTGTTTTCAGCTCTGATTAAAATTGTGCTAGACTTGGGCCTTTCTTATTCTTCTACTGGGCATTATATGATTGGCCAAATTTGAAATGTGCAGTGCATATATGCTGCAGAGGGTGCTGAGAAGTATTTTATTTGGTCTTACAGGTGGCAAGGTGATTTACTGAATGAGTATTTACCTGCTTCTGAACAAGATGTGGGTGGATGGAGGGATGGATGGATGGATGGATGGATAGATAGATAGATAGATAGATAGATAGATAGATAGATAGATGGAAAACTGAGGGCGGTCTTTCAAAGTGTAGAATTTTTCTCTGCATGTCTTTCTTTTAAAAAAGCAAAGCAAAGATCATTATTGGTCTCTGAAATGAGTACGTTCAGATCTGCATCTTCTTTGGTGTTTTTTTTGTTCTGTTCTGCTTTCCCCAGCTAATTACAGGAGTGCAGCAGACGACAGAACGACACAACCAGGCTTTCATGGCTCTGGAGGGACAGGTCATATCTAAAAGATTACATGCCAAAATCAGAGAAAAAGCAGGCCACTGGTTTGCCACAAGCACTCCCATCGTGGGGAAAGGAGTCATGTTTGCCGTGAAGGAAGGCCGTGTAACCACTGGTGTTTCCAGCATCGCCACAGACGACAGCAGGAAAATCGCCTCCGTCCTGAACGGCGCTCACTACCTGGAGAAGATGCACTACAGCATCGAGGGCAAGGACACCCACTACTTCGTGAAGGTCGGCTCGGCCGACAGCGACCTGGTCACCCTGGCCATGACCAGCGGGAGGAAGGTCCTGGACAGCGGCATCAACGTCACCGTCTCGCAGCCCACGCTCCTCGTCAGCGGCAGGACTCGAAGGTTTACCAATGTTGAGTTTCAGTACTCCACCCTGCTGATCAACATCCGCTACGGACTGACCACCGACGCGCTGGACGAGGAGAAGGCCAGGGTGTTGGACCAGGCTCGGCAGCGGGCCCTGGCCGCCGCCTGGGCCAAGGAGCAGCAGAAGGCGCGGGACGGACGCGAGGGCAGCCGCGTATGGACAGACGGAGAGAGGCAGCAGCTCCTCAGCACGGGAAGGGTTCAAGGTTACGAGGGATATTATGTCCTGCCCGTGGAGCAGTACCCAGAGCTAGCAGACAGTAGCAGCAACATCCAGTTTTTAAGACAGAATGAAATGGGAAAGAGGTAACAAATTAACCTGCTGTCATCCTTTGCTGGATGAATCAGTAGTCATAACTGTTATCTCCTCTCCTAAGGAGATGAAGACCTAAATGGGGGCACTAGGCTGAGCTACTCTGGGATAGTAAGTGGCAAAAAAGCTCATATTTTTTGAGTTAAATGCTACTGTTCAAGTGATTAAAAACCACATCCTGAAGTGGACTAAAGCCAGACTGAAAACTCTTAACCGTACAAATTAAAAAGTACCCCTGAAATATTACCCACTTGTTCTGGGTCTAAAGAAAAACAAAAAGAAGGCCTCGTATTGTATTACCTCACTCCATTCACACGTGAGCAAACTAAGAAATCCAAGTGGGCCACTTTCACTAACCAGCTGATGAAACACAGATGATTCAGACTGCTTGTTTGATAAATATCCAAGAGGTTTTCATTTAAAGCAAAATACAGATGCATTTAAAACATGACTTTGGGGTGATTTGTGTGTAGCGAATGGAGGACAAATGAAATGCAAGTGAGAGCGCACTGGAAATAGGAAAGGAAAATATATTTAAAAGTAACAAAACCACACTTGCACTCTGACCCTCCACTTGTCTGGCCTGAAGCTTAACTTATTCAAAGAGGGCAGAGTGTAAAGTTACATTCAAAATGGTGGCTATAAATCACTACAGATAAAAAAAATTCATACTCTGTTTGTCTTTGAAGATTTCCATTGTGGACAGTATAACACAGTTACAGGGTGTAGTCTGTTTAGATTCAGTAGTTTGTTGGTATCAGTTCCAGTAGAGCTGTGGGCATTGTGTTACACTATTGCAAATGGGCACCACATCAGATCACCCTGTACATACATCAGCCAGAAGGCACAATCACTGTTTCAGATTTAAAAATTATTAGTGTGTTTGTTTGGTCGAGAAACTGAGACAATCACATTACGGTCACCACAAAAAAAAAACAAAAAAAGGAAAAAAAAAAGTCTAATAAGAACTTTGGTACAAGAACTTTTTTGTAATATACATGTATGAATTGTTCATTGAGTTTTTATATTAATTTTAATTTGCTGCTAAGCAAAGACTAGAGACAGGCAAAGATAATTTATGGCAAAGTGTTTAAATTGTTTATACATAAATAAAGTCTCTAAAACTCCTGTGAATTAGTTGTCTTCCATTGCAAAATCTTGTAAAAGCGATTCTTGTCTGGCTGTTTCTAATGCACACAGCATTTTGTATGTGGAAATGACTTCCTGTGGTTCAATGGATCCTGCAGGGGGCTGGTCCTTTGATCTCTGGGTAAGCAAAAAGTCCTTCACACACATCACCCAAAAATCTGCTTAGGACACAGGACAAAATTGATAAATGCTTTAGGAATGCCCTTTCTGCACCTCATGACTAGCAGCCCTCAAACTGCTGTGTTTCAATTCTGGAATTAGTTTAATTGCACTGAAGTAACCTCTAAACAGTTTGAAAATGTAGTAACATAATATTAAGTGGAACATGCAAGGCTGTGCTGTGAGCCAGGAAGTCTCCATGAAATCTGTCTTCTTTGGGAGATTGCTTATTTCTACCACATTTAAAAATGGGAGGTAAGATCAAAGACCCTCTCCTAAGCAAACAGTCACTCCTGGTGATGATAAAAGGGAGCCATCCATCACCCAGAGCCCTGCCGCTTTTATCTCATTTAAGGATGTAGCTGGGGAGCTCTACTTAATTTTGAGAACAGTTTTGCTTTTGGGGTTGCAAATGAGGTTTTTAATGATTCATGATAGCAACAGAGATGCTCGAGCTGATTATGGGCATAAATTCACTCCAGGGCGTTTTTAAAGCCGAGCAGTTCAGTGCCTGTGTGGTGCAGCACCTGGAGCACTGAGAAAGCGTGTCTCATTTTTCTGTGCAAACGAGAGCCACCCCACTCCACTGGGAGTCACACCTACCTGTGCACCCCACAGGCACCCCCAGCCCTGCTACTCACCCTCTGAAGATGAAGTCTGGCTGCATTTTCAGATGAAGTCCTGATTGTCCATCACTGCAGGTGTTTTTCTTTGCTGAAGGACTTGGAGCGCTGTTACATTATTATTTTGTTCTTTACAAGTGAAATCTCTTAAGGAAGTGTTTTTTAAAATGGGGGAATAAAACATGAAATCATGAAGTAGAGACATTTTGCATTATTGCAATTTGTCTGGATTACCTGGCCCTGTCCTGGTAAGCTGCTTAGCTCATCTTTTGGGATAGAATTTTTTTTGCAGTTTCAGAGCATTGAAATGAGAACCTGTTGCACAGTCCCCAGTGTCCTTCATTCTGTTACCATTCTCCTAAAGCTAAAACTCTTCAGAACTGGAGATTCTGCTACTTCAAAAGGGAACTCAGTTAAGCTAAAAGGGAAGCATCCTTTGAATATTAATGACTATCAGAAGAGATGTAACAAATTTCAGGGGATGCACTCCCTATTCATCTCCTTTGCAACTAACACACACCATCAGGATGTTCTTAAAGAGAGTTTTGGGAGATGCTGCTAAATTCTCACCAGAGATCACTGCCCCAGGGCTAGCTGTAGTTTCCAAAGCCCCAGCAATACACTTGAGCTCTTAGGCCCAGCTTAGCATTATGCTGGGCCTGACCAAGGTCATTCCCAGCTCTGCCCCTCAGCTCTGCACTTCACTTTCCCTGTGTTCCCATACAGACACTCTCTACATGGGCTACCCAGCCTGTTCTTTTGGCAAGTAAACTGCACTGTGTCCAGTGACTTAGAGAACCTTGTGTGGTGCACCAAAGAGATTGGAAGAATTGCTGTATTTTTTGTAATTATGACAAAAGAGCTAAATTCTCTCATGTCTGGAAAAACCAGCTAACTGGTAGAGCCCATTCTAAAGAGTTTTCACTTAACAAATGAGGCAGATAACTGGGCTGGTGTGGCCATGGCCAGCTCTCCTGTGGTCCCATCTGGGTTTCCCATTTCTTGAAGTATCTGTTTCTCCCTTTTTATTTCCACCACCTTCCCTTTCCCCACCTCAGACTGGTATCTCCCGTTCCTCTCAAAGCTCTTGCTTTTCCTCTTTTCCTTGCTACACTTTTCCATATGTAATAGATGCTTAACCTAAAGCACTGCCAAGGAGATGTGAACTGGATTATTCTTAATAGGGAGTAGTTAAGTGGTGGCTTTAGCAGTGACATTGTGTCTGTGTCCCCAGCAGCACTGTGACCAGGACAGAGCAAGGGCACCCATCAAAGGACCTGGCCTGGAAAGCACTCCTGGATGTGGGAAGGCACAGACCACGAGCTCAGGCAGCCTAAATACCATGAGCAGGGGTTTGCCCTCCCAGCTCATCTGAGTGCAAGCTGCTCTCTTGTTTGTAGAGAGAGCAGGACAAGAATAGGCTTCTGTTTGATGCTAAAACCAGATGGAAAATCAGCATTAGAGTACATTTTCTTTTTTTCCTTATCGGATTGCTGTAACTGAAGGAATTTAGTATTTATAACTTTGCATTTCAGCTTGGAAAAAAACATGTTTTGTTTCCTGACTTATCCCAAAGAGTGGGCTGGCTGTGGGTGTGGCACGTGTCTCAGCACAGCCTGCTCCTCTCCACCACGGCTGTTCTGCCTCTCGAGGTGGCACCGGTGGCACTTTGGCCACATGATGGCAGCTCTGCCAATGAGACATCCAGAGGTACCAGCCTTTGCCTGCTGACACTGCCTTGCCCACAGCAGTGCCCAGCAGTGCCCTGTCAGCCTTCCTTAGGGGCTGGTTATCTTGAATTAAGGCACACACAGACATTCCTCCCAAAGCTGGGCCAGACCAGTGCATCCACAAAACTCTCATGGGAGTAAATAAAGGGAAGGAACCACTTAGGCTTTTTTGGGTTTTTTGCTACCTCTAGTGCAGTGGCTGACACAAGAGCACACACTAGGTCTCTGAGAGTGCACAGAGACAGACTGAAACCTGCATGGGAGCCTGGCTCTGGCACTTCCAGTTTTCGCCTCCCATCCCTTGGGAAATGCAGCCTCTCAGAAACTTCCTGATAGGAAGGACTGTGCCAACACCTCTGTAAGCCAAGTCCCTGATCTTCACGTAGTCCAGGTTCATCACTGCTGTAAGAACAGAAGAGCCAGATATCCCTCACCTGCCCTGAACATGACCATGACAGCCTTCCAAGGCTCTTCATGTTTGTTGGTCATTTTCTGTTTAAAAGTCCAAGAAAACCACATCAGGATTGACTGCCTTTGAATAATTTGCATTAAGTGTTTTGTGCTGTCATTTCTGTAAGGTTCATGCCTTTGACAACTGACTCACAACAGTTCTCAAATAAGCACTCAATAATGATCAAACATGGGAATATCTTCAACACACAGCCGTGAGGGTACAGCCCTAAGAAACTCCAAAGGCAAAGGTTTCACTCACTGAGTTGTACCGTCCTGTGTTCATCTGGTGATCTTGCTCAAGAACCCCACATGAAGGTCAGTCATAAACTCAGGTGACCTTTGAACTGTGACTCAGTTCAAAGGGGGAATTTTACCTTACAAAATAAGGCAGATGTAATGAAGTGGTACCAGGACCTCTCTGCCTCTGAGCTGCCTCTGAACTCTTCTGCCAACAATAAAAGTTCCTTCCCAGCATCTTTCAGTACAGCCTGCATCATAAAAATTCTTTATTTACAAGGATTACTTAGTTTAAACAGTACTCACTGCTTTTGAAACTTGTCACTCCTCTGGAAGCAAACTCACTTCTTTACCCCTGTGGCACCAAGTTCCAAGGGCTGTGCTATAGAAGAGGGTCAGCAGATGCTGACAGAGCTGCAAAAGGTTTTTTACTCTGCACATCTCTGAATTGGCAGCAAGATCTCAGAGCCTTAGAGCCACTTTGGGCCCACAGAAAGCAGTAAAGGAGCATGAGCAGGTGGCTCCATGGGGCAGGGTCTGTCTGTGAAGGCTCTGCTGCTGGTTGTACCAACATACAGATATATATTGCATGCTGTTACTGCTCAGTCAGGTCAATAATATCAGAACAATTCTGTCTTACTCCTCTGTATATCTGTCATCTCCACAATGAGCACAGCAACATTTGAGCATGACTAAGAGCTCCAGGAAGGCAAATACCATTGCCAGTGTCAAAGCACCACCTCCCCTGCATTCATAAAGCCTTTTCTGCTTCTGCCTAACCCAGCACAAATGGGTTAAAAGCAGCACAGGGCTGGGCACAGCTGGAGCTGTGATCATGAGCTGTGTGTGTCTACAGCAGCAACACCTGGCAGGTGATTACCTGAGCTGCTGGGAAGAGCAAGTGGCATGTAACAAGCAGCTGAGACTGGGTCACACAAATACAGATACAGAATGCTTTGCAGCACCCTCACAGCAGGGCCCATCACACTCAGGGGTTAAGCTGATCATTTTAATCTCAGCTGACTGATAGCTCACTGTGTCAGCTCAGCCTCTCCACCGCAATCACCAAAAATAAGCAAAACCACAGAGGTGGAGGCACCTGTGTGATGTGCTCAGGTACCCAAGCCAGGCATGCAGCCAGATGACCAGCAAGAAAAAGAAAACAGCTTGGCAGGGAAGGCAGGGACTGGACCCTGCCAGCCTCTCCCACACATAGTTTGGGGTCTGCCTGCCAGCACCCTGCAGGCTGCCCAGCCTTCTCCACCACCAGCTCCAGGAGCCTCTTCTAACCTGCTGAGCGTGGGGTTTGCACCAGGGGCAAGAGGCAGTGCCCAGCAGATGCCCTGCACCCACCCATCTGCTCCAGTTCACCTGGAGCTCAGCAGGTACCACCAGCCCTGCCCAGGCTTCCCCACACCTGCTGCAGTGTTGCTCTTCAAAACACACATCTTATGTCACAGGTTAGTCTTCCCCTCATGTCCTTGTTCATTAAAATACTTGTGTAGCATCTTAGGAGGATTTAATGGTTTCAGTCAGGCTACTTCTGAGCTGAGGAGGAGGACAAAAAAAGCAAGTAATAAAGCAAAATGTGGTAAAAACACCACGGGAGAGAGCTGTGTGCCAACTTTCAGACAAGCAAATGAATGCAGCCAATTTATAAATCCTTAACAAATAGGATTTACAATAGAAGTGGCAGTTAAGCCATCATGAGTACTAAAGGTGGCAGGCAGTGCTCTGTAATGCTGTCCGTGCTCTGCAGCAGCAGCTCAGCAGCATTGCTATT